GATGTGTGTGTATGTGCATCATGCCCACCATCATTCCGATATCGGTTAAAGTACTAGAACATAAAATATTTTTCCGTCTTCTATGGCTTTGTATCGGAAATGTGATTTCGGTTTTTTTTTTGGCATTTGTAATTTGCGAAAAGGGAGATGTTATTGGCAGGTGTGGGGGAATGAGGATGGAAACTTGTTTGACACCCACTTAACAAAAATGGTTGCCATTAGTATTTAGTTTTTTTCTGTAATGTTATTCTTCCGGTAGAAATGTTATGGCTTCGGCACAAAATATAGAAAGAAAAACTAGATCAAGTGCCAAAATAGATACAAGTCGAATTCAAGTGTTTGCCACACACAAGATAAGGAGGAAATTGTGGTAAACACACACACACGTTAATAATACATACATATGCTGATATACTTAAATATAAATAAATTGTTCCTTTGTTGATAAGCAATAATGAAACCAAATTGGGAAATGTTTTGATGTAAGCTCTCAGCATTTAATACGACTAAATTACGCCTCATCGAAATATTAATTAAAACCCGAGAACTTTGGTGAAAACCGTGTCAGACAGAATGTCTGGTTGGTACGCGCGGAAACTCTGTGAGGGAGTAACTAGGATTGTGTCATTAGTTTAGAATAATTATTCCGCAAAAGGAACGATCAATAGTGGGTCCAGTTCTTTCATTTAATTTATTTTGCTCCAGTCGTTATTTTTTGCTCCCGTTAAAATTGTTAGTTTTATTATTCACCGACCCAATTTACCCAATTAACCAAATGAATGATCCAGTTTCTTTTGCGGAGGGAACAGAAAAATATCGAACAGCTTTACGAGCGGTATTTATATCATGCGAACGGATTCGGTTCAAACTTTACATTCGTTGGTTTGGATGGACAGTTGAATAAATAATGGGTTATGTGAAGGGCCTTAAAACATGTAGGAAACCCTGAATAGGATTTCAAGTCTGAGTTTTGTCTGAATAAAATGTTTTTGACTTGGAAGAAGTGTACCACTGACCAAAATTGCAGTAGGATGTTGAATTAGGAGTTGATTGCTTTAGTAACTGATTATGACTTTGGAGACTGCCTGAAAATGAAAAGTTTTTAAGAAATATGCTATCAACAATTGCTTGAAGTCGGATTAAGTTACATCTTTAATGTCTTTATCATGTAAACTGAAGGGGTGCACATTCAAATTCTATTTAAATCGGCCAGCACATTTAAATTGGGCAAGGGATTTAAATATTCAAAAACATGTGATGTAGGTTTGATGAGAAAGAATTGTTTTTATTTACAAGGAATCCACAAAGCCAAATTACAGCCACTTCTGTTGGGAATCAATATCGATAATTTTCTACATAGATTTGTTTCTTCCGCCAGGATGCCTGAATCCCATTTCCGAGGAAAATGCGGTTTAAAATTTCAAAATTCCGAAAAAGGATGTTTTTTCACACCTCAAGAACCCGTAGCGGCATTGTCCTAAACAAATAAATGCCTATGGAGCCCTAAATGGAACCCTCGCTGGGGGCTCCAGCAACTATCATTGGGAAAGCTGACCCTGATGGTAGGACGCTGCGTCGAACTTGGGCGACATAATTGAAAATTTGACCGGACAAAATGAATCCCTCTTCAGACTCATTGAGAAATACAGCAGTTACCGTAATAGCCACAAGATCATCCCAACTGACATATGAGATGATATCCCAATGTCAGATGAGGAGTATGATGCTGATGTCACTGTCATCAGTATTCTACCTTCGAATTGACAGGTGACATAAAATATATCAGCTGTGGGTGTGGGTCCTTCGAAGCGGAACCCGTCGTCCTTCAGCCCTGAGGCAAACAGCTACTGAAAATTGAGTGCTACAAAGCAACTATGGAACCCTCGCTGGCGGTCCTGCACCCATCATTAGCAAAGCTGACCCCGATGGTAAGATCGATGAAAATCATTGGTCACTACTCGACCGGAAAACTAGCGGATGTTTCCGTGAATGAGGTCCCGTGCGGTATGGTTCCCCCCTCCTCTCTTGGAACTACACCTGATACACAGGATTGTCGATGCTTGATGCTCTCTTCTGTACCTCTGGATCTCATTCTCTCCCCAGAGCATGAAAATCCTTTCTGGCATGCTCCTATCCATGGGGTAGTTGTTGTTGCAGCCCCACAGTTTTTACACAATGGGCCGAGTAAGACCCGGGTCGTTTCGGATCATAAACCCCACTGACGCGGAAACGTCTATAAGGTTATGGATCGGATGACTGTTTTTGCAACACCCAAACAAAAATTGCATCGATGACAGTTTGTGTTGTTAACGGGCAGAAACGATCTTCATCTGCTCTTGTAAGTAGTCTATTGGGTTCATGAAGAGTCATCCTGTTCATCCCAGAGGTCTGCATTCTGGCAGGATTCACTATTTTTTTCAAAATCTGAATCTGATCTGAATTCCTGACCTGATTATTTTAATGTTATTTTAATGGGGGAATGTCTGTTGTTAGTTTGGATAATTTTTATTTAAAAATAATTCAATGGAAATATCATATGAATTTCGGAACTTCAGACGCTCATATATCGATAAGTATGGGCTTTTATATTTTCGAGATAAGCGGAAACACAATCTTTGATAAATTTAAAAAAATCAAGATGGACCACAGAAAACAGGATGCATTCTTAGTTTATACCTGCTTGTAAGTCATTCCGAATATTAGGCTTTACTCGCAATCGGGCTTTAAATCTTGACTAAAGTCAGAAAACTTGGAACGATTCAAGGGCAAGCCATAACTAGGCATTAACCCAAACACATTAAAGTTCCAATGTTATGGCAATGACTCGGATCGTTCTGAAATTTATGTGTATTACATAGTGGTTATGTTTAGTTTATGGCCCGATCGCGTATGGTTTTGAAATTGTTACAATACATATTTACGGAGATATAAGCAGCCAAAAATACGCTGGGACACCTGTTTTTCTTTTTTAAATCTCTAAGGAAATGTGGATATCAATTTCAATCGGTATAAGTGCTTGATTACAAAAATGTATTTATCTTGTCGAAGAAGTCAATACTTTCTGAGAAATGACAGCTGTGGCAAAATTTTCAAAACTGCGACGTTGCCCTAAAATAGACTTATTCGCCGGTGTCAATAGGAAAAATTGCAAAAAATCGACCAAACACCTCTGTTATACATGTCACTTGTAACACCAATTCTTTATAGCCCGAAACAAGATTATAGTCCGAAACAGAGTGGTAAAAAATTTCAAAAATTTTCAAGACCGGTATATTTGCATTTGTCAAAAACTTTTACCAGATGACATTTATATATATATATATATATATTAAACACTTAATTGTATTCTATACCCAGAATCCTTCAAACATTTGAAAAAAAACCGGCAACAAATACACACTTGTTCTGTGATTCCATCCAGCAAAGCAGCCACCATTCAATGTGCAGCTTCTTTACTGCCAAACTTGATTATTCCGACTGCAACTTGAGCTTCAGGCAATGGATGATTTTCGGGCTATTTTGAAATACCTCTCTTTACTCGCAATAATAAATACACACAAAATTCATTTAAAATTTGTCTCGTTTAACAAAAAACGCGAATAATTTATCACTTCACTTTTATTTTATTGTTATTTCCTATTTTTGTTGTTTATTTGCTCACTGCAAAAACAAACACTCTCACCGCTCACTTGATGTTTTTTAGCAGTTGATTCGTTTTTTGTTTATTTGTATAATAAAAATTTTATTGATATTCTATGGGCGTTATTATGTTGAGAGATTTATTTTTCCACAATATATCACTAATGTATTTCATTTAAATTCACTTCTACACACTTAAATGATTTATTTGGTTATATTACAAATAGTTTTTATTGTTTTTTAGTTAATACAATTATTTTCCTTTTTGTTAATGAAAAACCCGCAACAAAAACTAACTCGCTCTCTCTCACACACACACACCTTTTTGACAAAGTGACAGTTAGGGTTCTATAGATGAGATTTGAGTGTTGTCGATTATTCGATGTTTTTGGGTTAACAACGAAAGAAAATAAATCGATATGGCAATGGATGAATCGTGGTTACAAAAAATAATAGAATTAACTGGAGAAAATAATAAAAAACAACTCTGAAGTGGTAATGCATCTTGAATTATTACACCATGCTTGATACTACATGTTTCAATTTTCTAGAATCAAGATTTTTTTTAGTTTTTACTACGATAACAATTTTTCCTTTATGGTATCGAATTGTAATTGTAAACAAATGGTAAATTGTTGTAGTACAGGAACAGACTAAAAATGTATAGGCAAATTTAAGCGAATTAATTTTTTTCCTGATAGATTTGGTCGGCCGAAAATGACATGAACCTATATTGTTAAAATTCTGAAATAAAACTTTCACGAAACCAAAATATTGCAGAGGCAAATTCGAAGACTATATATTTCATATAAAACGGCATTTACAATACAACTTTTTACCGGGTTAATCTAATCTATGAGGATTTATTTGACATGTATACAATGGAATTGATAATTGAAACCCACTAGGTTAACGAACTGTCTATCAATTGTAATGTAAATGTCCTACAAATAACCATTTCCATAAAATTGGTCTGTTCCCATTATGTAATAATATACTAATTTTTACTATTTTCTTCGATATCATAAGGGGAAAATTACTATCGTAATAAAAAAATGTTATATTCTTGCAGACCAAATAAGTTCAATGTCTTCTGTTCCAAAACCTTGTTTACGATTTTCCTTTAAAATTAAAAAAAAAAATACATCACATTTTTATAATAACACATTTCCACAATTTGTCATGTGGCCAGACCACCAATAAAAAAATTGAACGCAGTTCAATTAGGTCGTCTAACATTACTGTAAATACAAAGGCAGATTGTCTTGCATCAAATTCAAATAGATTAGAAAATTTGCGGGCAGTGATCTTCGTTGCGGACTGAAATTCGATTTGAAGTTAAACGAACCTAAAGGGAAAATATGTCTTCCAAAGGACGTGGTAGTTTCCTAAGCTTGCTAGAACAAACAGCCCTATCCACGGAATCATCCAGTGATGCGTTATCGGGTAAATCGGCTAAAGATAGTGGCTTAGGTTCGAATTCACCATTGTCTTTGGGAGAATATCGTCGCTTGGGTCGTGGTAAATTAATTGATGAGCTGGCGTCATCATGCTCGAATTTGTCACTGGGCGGTCGTGGACGTAGTAAATTCCTTGAAGATACACAATCGCTAACGGGATCGTTGAGTGTTGCTGGTGGTGGAGGCAGTAGTGGTGGTGAGGGTAGTAGTGGAGGAGGTGGTGGGAGTGGTAGAGGACGTGCTTTGCTATTTCAAAAGCTGCAACAATTCGAGACAACGGGAATAACAACCACTTCGGAGGAAGTTGAATTGCCAGATGTCCAAAGTCATGCCACCACGGTTACCTCCGAGGATAAAGACACTGCCGAAACGATGAGAGAAACCGATGGATCGACATTTTTCAAAAGCGTCAAGAATACACATGGCAGCAAGGGACATCCCGTTAGATTGGCCTGTAATTATATACGCCTACATTCCGATCCCGATAAGGGGGTATTTGTGTATGAGGTACGCTTCACACCGAATGTGGATTCGACCAATTTGCGCATGAGGTATTTAAATGAACATCGCGATAAATTTGGCGGTGTTAAGACTTTTGATGGTGTCACGCTATACCTACCCATTTTGCTGCCCAACAAACTGACCACGTATGTTTCCAAGAGTGCTGCCGATAATTCGGAAATTGAAATTCGTGTCATGTTTAAGCGTAGGGAGACGCTTAAGAACTGCATTCATCTTTATAATGTCCTGTTCGATCGTGTTATGAAGACATTACATTATGTACGCTTCGATCGGAAACAATTTGATCCGACATCGCCAAAGATTATACCACAACAAAAGTTGGAAGTGTGGCCAGGATATGTAACGGCTGTGGATGAATATGAAGGTGGCCTTATGTTGTGTTGCGATGTCTCGCACAGACTATTGTGTCAAAAGACGGTGCTCGATATGATGATTGATATACATCGAAGTAATCCAAACGGTTTCCAGGAGGCTGTCAAGAAATCTCTGCTAGGCAGTGTGGTCATAACTCGGTACAATAACCGTACCTATCGTATTGACGACATTTGCTTTGACAAGAATCCCTTGTCCACATTTCCCACAAAGGATGGAAATATCTCCTACTTCGATTACTACGTTAAGCATCACAACATTAATATAAGGGACAAGCAGCAACCCCTGTTGCTGAGCATAAAGAAACAACGACATGCCAACAGCGATCAAAGTGAAGATATTGTTTTCTGTTTGGTTCCGGAAATTTGCTTCCTAACTGGTCTTCGTGATGAAATGCGTTCTGATTTTAGACTGATGCGTGAAATTGCCACCTTTACACGTATTTCACCCAATCAACGTCTACAGGCTTTGGAAAAGTTTTACACGAACATAAATAAGTCGCCCGAGGCTACCCAGATACTCAAAGATTGGGGTTTGTCGCTTACACAATCCTATGAGACTGTAAATGGTCGACTCTTTGAAGAGGAGAAAATCTACTTTGCCCAGAAATCATTTGGTGCTGGGGCGAATGCCGACTTTTCCAAATATGCCACCAGTAATGAGCTGCTAGATGTGGTCAACATTACGAATTGGGTTATACTCCACTGCAAAAATGACGACAGAGTGGTTCAGTCTTTCCTAGATCATGTAGAGAAATGTACCCGTGCCTTTGGTATGAAAGTGCTGAAACCAAAAGTTGTTGTTTTACCCAACGATCGTGTCGACTCCTTTGTCAATGGCCTTCGTGAGAATATTAAAAAGGAGACACAAATTGTGGTTTGTATATCACCCACAAATCGTGAGGATCGTTATTCGGCCATTAAGAAAATATGCTGTGCCGAAATGCCTGTACCATCGCAAGTGATCAATGCCCGTACCCTTAGCAATGATGCCAAGAATCGTTCGATTGTCCAGAAAATTATTCTACAAATGAATTGCAAATTGGGAGGTTCCTTGTGGTCGGTGAAAATTCCATTCCGCAAGGTAATGATTTGTGGCATCGATTCATATCATGATGCTGCGCAGAAGGGCAATTCCGTAGCAGCTTTTGTGGCCTCACTCAATGAAACCTATTCCCGATGGTACAGCAAGGCAGTTATACAAACCAAAAGGGAGGAAATTGTAAGCGGCCTCTGCTCCTCATTCATCTCCGCCCTGTCAGCATATCACAAAGAGAATGGTGTTTATCCCGACAATGTTATCATTTATCGTGATGGTGTTGGTGATGGCCAGTTGTCGCTATGTGAAAATTATGAAATACCCCAGTTCGAACAGGCCAGCATGAAGCTGTTGAAACAACCGATTAAAATTACCTTTATTGTTACCCAAAAACGTATCAATACCCGTTATTTCACTGCCAATGGTAACATACAAAATCCTCCACCGGGCACAGTGGTCGATATGAATATTACCCGATCCAATTATTATGATTTCTTTTTGGTATCCCAAGCGGTACGCCAAGGTACCGTCTCACCCACCCATTATGTTGTGCTCCGCGATGATGCTGCCTACAGTCCAGATATTCTGCAACGTCTAAGCTATAAACTCTGTTTTATGTATTACAATTGGCCCGGTACCATACGCATCCCGGCTTGCTGTCAATATGCTCACAAAATGGCCTATCTTGTTGGCCAGAATATACGTCGAGCTCCAGCCGAAGAGCTTTCGAATAAATTATTCTATCTATAAACATTTTTTCTATTGACTGATACTTTATTAATTAAATTGAATTGTTTTTTTTTTTTGTGTTTCATTCTCGATCATCTCATTTTTTACGAAAATAACGAATATCTATTTTTAGTTTTCTTTCTTCATTTTCTATTATTATTATTAGTTAACTAATATGGAAACTGAAGTACAAAGTCATATATTTATAAAATATATGACCAATAGTTGCCCTAAGCTTTTGTCATTATAACTTAATGTTTATCTGTATGCAATGAATTGAATTTAATAAAAATAAGTAAATAGTAAAAAATAGATTTGTTTACTTTTGTTTAAAAAAATATATATGCATTTATAGTTGTTTTTATTATTATTGCATAAATAATATGGAATGTAAGTAAAGAAGTCCTATTCTATAAACTCAAAAGCAGTTCTTGATTACAAGTCCGCTCTGAATGATATACGACGGATAGTTAACATATGTTGGGTTCCAGGACATAGTGACATAGAAGGGAATGAGATAGCCGACGAGCTTGTTCGAGGGGGCTCATAATCGTGCAATCTTCCGATTCAGAGATCGGTGCAACCACCCATTGGCTATTTCATTGGTAAAATCCGCTTGTTCTACGACGAGGTGGTCCATAACAGATGGTCGAGAGAACCTGGTTGCTGAATCTCAAAAGATATCTGGCCTGAATTCTCTCGCCGAAGAACTTCTTCGCTGTAGATACATAATAAAAGAAATGGCTTAAATAACCGCCCATATGCTCTCCTTCTCCACTCACTCTTCTCTTTCCGTTCTCTTTTCAGGTATAAAGGATGATCACAGAGGACAATAGTCTCCGAGTGGACGGTTGTTACTAACAACCGTACATCCCTAACCTAAAGAAGAGTTCAAAAGAAAGTCGGATAAAAAAAATATAACGAATATTAGTTAATTTAAGCCTTAAGACTAGTCAGGGTATATATAGTATGATATAACCAAGTTTGTTGATTTGGAAACATCCAATCTTTCGAATACCTCTCCCACAAAGTAGACATATATTTTTTAATTGAACTTTTCGGCGATATTTGTGTCTTATGAGGGTATAAACCTTTTTGTTACGCAAATATTGGTTTTAGACCCCATGTTTCTTTTGACCAAATCCGTTTCAGAAAGTTTGGAGTCGATCTACAAATGTCCGTCCATCTGTGTATCTGTCTCAAAAGGAAGAACCGATTTTATCCAAATATATATAATATTTCTTCCAAATTTAAATCAAGTTCGAAGATGGGGAATATAAGTCCACTCCTACTGGTACCTCCCAAAACAAAATGGTCTGAATTTTGCTGAAAATTAATTTTTTAATATCATACTTTGCACAACCTAATATTTTTACCAAGCCTGTATAATGTCGGACCATTCATTCCATTGCCTCCACCATAAGAAGGTTTACTGTCTATAAAAGGTCTTCTGTCTGTATAAGGCCTCCATACAAAATTTCAAAATTTGTTGATCCAATAACATGATTCGATGCAAAATGTGAAAATCGTAATATTTCTTTCAAACTTAAATCGAGTTAAAATATGGGAGCCATTGACCCTTCTGATACCTCCCCGCCAAAATGGTTAAAATTTACTGAATATTAATTTTATAACAACGAACTATCCGATTTGAAATAAACTCTGGACAATCTAAAATTTTAACTATGTGTCCATATTGTTGTAAGGTAGGACTATCAGTCCACTATTTTTAATATCTCTTCCACAAATGGTCAACATTTTGAAAATCTGTACATCTCATATGCAGGGAACGGAATATCCAATTGCATCGAAAATTTGTACATCGTAATATGCTTACATTACATACATCATTTTCGAAGATGAAACTCGTCGATCTCGAGGTTCAAAACGGACTTTCCATTCGCCTGATATTGGATTTGATCATTTGTGTGGGAGGTACCAGGAGTGGCCTAGTGGGTCGCATCTTCAAACTTGATCTAAGCTTGCGCAATGTTTGGTTCAAGTCGGACATTGCATTCACTTGATATTGGATTAATAGAAATTTAATTAAGATTACAAATTTTCGAACTTCGAAGATCGACCACGTACCTAACACTATTATTCATATGTAAATAAATAATAAAAACACTTGTTTTACAAAATAGTTTTTCAATATTTTTGTTTCTTTACTAAATGAAATAGAATAAACACAAAATGGAGTCGGTACTTGTTTGATTGATTCACACATCTTAAAGATTTCGAATGAGAGAAAAAGAAATGTAATGGCTGTGTGGTGGAATTAGAAAAGAACTTAATAAAAAAGAAAATGTAAACTAATCCGTATTGTACAGCAGTCTCTATACAACACGTTTCACTTCGAAGAAACGTTTCAAATAATACACCTGGCCCACAGTCATCAAAACCAAAACTAAGGCTTCAAATGTGGACCATAAAACGACACGGGAATTTGTGCTTTCGTTGATGGAGCGATGGATTTTGTCACGAACCTGAAAAAAAAAACATTAAAAATATTATTATTCCCTTTTAGAAAACATATTCGATTTCCTTTACTTACATGCATATATTCCTGTTCATGCTTAACACTGGTCAAGGTGCCCGACAATTCACGAATCATATCCTCCAATTTGGTGTGACCAACTTCATCTTCACCGGGTGCGCCGGGAACACGATGTGGCGACTCTCCAACATCAATCGAGAACATAACCATTTTCGGTGTCATGCTGCTCTTGGAATTGTCAAAGCAGACGGTATAAACACCCGTTGTAACAGCGGCAAATGTCAATCTGCTCGATGATTCTTTAACGCTTTGATGCATGATGCTATTATCAGGGCCAGTCACTTTGATATCAATGTCCAAGAAGCCACCATCGATAACTTCAAATGTTACACCTATAAATAATTTCGGTTAGTAATACTTTCTCATACTTGTGTAGCTTTCGGTTTTCTCTCAACTTACTAAATTTGGTTCCAGCTTCGATTTTCTCGAAAAAGCATTCTTCATTGTGGGCATCAACATTCACAACAAATGCCTGGGTACCGCAAAGCATTTGCATAAGAGCAAATATTGTTACTAACAGCGATAATTTCCTCATTGTATTTTCTTTATATTACACTAAATTAATGTTTAATAATTATTTTATTAAGATTTTCTGGCTTTTTTCCCCGTCCGATCAAATACTATTGCTCAGCCACGTATATTGTCATATATAGGGGTATACAGCTCGACTTTCGATTATGTTTTATCGACAGAGTCGATGTCAATGACATTAAAGTAAAATCGATATTTGAGCATCGATTTTTGGAAATTATGGGAGTTTTGAAAAAAGAAATATTTTATTGTAATATGTTTTAATATTGTATTTTAGTAATACATTTAACAATGTCATTATAAAAATATGATATTATAAAAATGTTATGACACAATTAGACAAGTGGATTTAAGATTTTTAATTTCAAATTGAAATCCCTAGTCATTTCAAAATAAATGTTGCCAATCACTATATAAATGTAGGAAGGTTCACAGGGCTTGATATGGCATTTTGTAAACGTAAATACATCGTTGTGAAAATAATAAATTAAAATACGGGCAAATATCTAAAAATATGTGTGTAATTAAGGAAATTAAATGATTATTTCTATAGTAAAGTGAAAAGTGGCAAAAGGACATTATTCTAAAATACTTGTGAGTATAGTTTATTTTATATATTGAGTAAATTTTGAAAATTTAAGACAAATTGCATTTGGTAACATCAATAAAAGCTCTGTTGCAATACCTACAAAAATTTACAATTTCCAAAGAACCATAAAAAAGATATGAAACAAGTCGTATTTAGGTCCAAGTCGTGCATCATTTTACAGTCCTTAATGTCCTGATTAGATCGAAGTAATTTTATGTTTTTCTCAAGATTCGCTGCCGCTTTGCAACAGAATCGCATTTTTGTCGGTGTTCAGAGTGGCCGGGAATTTTTGTTTTAACCTTTTGGACAGCATAATCTTGTATTTAATGACAAACTACGAACATTGGAAATCATTAGGTACTTATTTCTAATGATCAGAATCAGCCGCTTCACAATAATACTCATTTTTAAATAACGACATTTTAAAGACCCACATTTTAGAAATTGTGGACAAGATTACATCGTTGTAATCAGGACTACTTGCGGCTTTTGTATAACAATTTCATATCGTCCGAAATTAAGTTTTGACCATTGAATTTTTTAAGAAAGAGGAGCGTAGCCATACGATTGCTTTCTCCCCAAAAACCTTTCTATTTAAACGACATTCTGTATAAGACGACTTCAACAGCTTCAGCAAATGAAAGAGTATTATGTTGAAAGCTTGTAAATTTGTATGTGGGCACTTCCACAGTTGCACTTTCAAAATTTGGCATATCCTTTATTTGTGAAGGATTTTTCTCGGCCACTCACGCGACGACATTTTTGATTTTGCGGTTTTTATTTCTGCAGTATCTGTATGTATAGTAATGAAAATTGGTATTTATGCTAATAACAAGAAGAAAAAATGACAAATATATTTTCTGAAGTTACTTCTCGTATTTAAGCAAAGTTGGAAGGGGTTGGTATATTCGTTTTTGAGTTATCGTGCCCAATCGGCTATATCTTCAATAGATGCTGTGATTTTCACTTGAAATTTTAAGGGCACATTCTTGAATTAGTGTAGGTCGCAACTAAAAAAATAACAAAATATAAGGTATACGTTTTTATCAAAGAGTTGGCCATAGTGGTTTCCCTGTAGACCCCCATCTTAAGATTTAATGTAGGTTTGGAAAAATATTACGATTAGCAAATCAGACATTGGATTAAAATTCTTCAAATGTTGACACTTTGTGGAGAAAGTACCACAAGAGTGGACCAATGGTTCCAATCTTCAAGTTTAATCTATATAAGATAAACATATTACCAATGCTTAATTTTGGATTCAATTTGATATTCCGTTCGCTACATATGGGATGTAAAAGTTTTCAAAATAGTTTTCGTTTGCGAGGGAGGTACTTGAAGGAGTTGACTCAAAAAATCCTATCTTCCACATGCTTAAAATATCCAGTTGTGCAAATTGAATTAAGTTTGAAATAAATATTACGATGTGCATATTTCCATATCATTAGATAAACTAATTTTCAAAATTTTGACCATAAGTGGGGGAGGCCCATTTCCCAAAAATATATGTACATGCATGATTAAAATATTATTTTGTACAAAGTTTGGTTTGAATTGGATGTTCTTTTCGCATGTTATTATGAAAAGCATTTTCGTCATTTTGTGGGGGATGTATCAGAAGAAGTGGACCGGTTTTTTTCCCATCTTCGAACTCTATATGAGATTGAAAGCAATTTTTCGAGGTAAACAATACGGATCAAATCGGATATTCCATTAGCTTAATATTGAAATGTTTGATCTATGTAAATATATTAGGTTATGCAAAAGTCAGAATTTTCAGGAACATTTTGACCAATTTGTGTGTTAAGTACCCGAGGGTGTGGACAGATATACCCATATTAGGCTTTAAACTATGTTTGCAAGAAATAATAAGATGTGCAAATTTTCGCACCAGCTATACAAATAGACGGGCGGTTTTGGTCCTAAAAATCATGGGGTCTAAAACTAATATTTCGATGAGACACATTTTTGCCTTAGCCAAAAGGCTGAAGGTATATATGGGCAATATTGCCAATTTTTTAATATTCCATTTTCAAAAAATCAGCTTTTTTGTTTTTGCGGCACATCTATGATTTTTGGTACACATATAGAGAAAAATGTTCTGACTCCGAAACCGTTCGCGATCAAATTTTTGGTTGATGCGCGAAAAAGTTATCGAGGTTTTAATTTTGGGCATAAGAAAAAAATCTTAAAATTACGCCGTTTATTATATAGACCAAAAACGTTGATATATATCTTCCTCCATAAAATAAGAATATGAATATATTATAATAATCGCGAAAAAGTTGCCCATATTCGCGAAATATGAGAAAAATAAAAGAAAATATAGCAGATAACATTAATATTTTCATTATATTAATGACATACACACACCTAAAAATTAATTTAAAAATATCTACATAATCTAAACACGATGGCGAATCAAATGATATCAAAATCACACAAGTCCGTGTAGCGGTCTCTAAATCAAAGCGACAACAAAACAAGATATTGAGGAAAAATATTTGTTTTTGGTTCGAAAAAATAATGTCATCATATTTATTTTTTTAATTGTATACAAGAAATTTCAGAGAAAAATGTTGGGGTTATTCTGCTATTTTACCCGAATTTCGCCGAAAAATTGACATATATAATAATAATCACTTTTTGTGTATAAGTATACGCCTTGCGGATTATATCAAGACCCTTCCGATAAATCTTAGAATTCTATAAATAGGAATAAATCATAAAATAATATTAAATATACATTTTAAATTGCATGTAAATCGCGTAATTCTCAAAATCATTTCATGCGCATGCGGTTTTCAGGAAGTACTGAAGTTTATCTTCCAATCCATATATATTTTGCGAAATTTCATTTGACGGCTAAAGATGTGCCACACGTTACATTGAAGTACCCAAAAAATCGTAAAACGCGAATAATTTCCGAAAACTCCATATGCCATTAACGCGCATCCGTATTCTGTGTGCACCCTTAAAAAATACATCGATCTATACCGATTTCAATGTGGTCCATTAAGAACCATGGATGTGCCAGCTCACACTATTTTTGAGATAAATTGCGTCTAAATCGTGTAATTCTCAAAATCATTTGATGCGCATGCGGTTTCCAGGAAGTACTGAAGTTTATCTTCCAATCCATGTATATTTTGCGAAATTTCATTTGACGGCTAAGATGTGCCGCACGTTACATTAAAGTACCCAAAAAATCGTAAAACACGAATAATTTCCGAAAACTCCATATGCCATTAACGCGCATCCGATTTCGGTGTGCACCCTAAAAAAATACATCGATCTATACCATTTCAATGTGGTCCATTAAGAACCATGGATGTGCCAGCAAAATCTATTTTTGAGTTAAATTGCGTACATCTCTCTTTCGGCTGAAGTTTTTAAAGTTCTCTTTTCGAAAAAGATCAAAATCCGTATGAGGACATTTATTGAAGCGGAAATGATACACAGAAAACGCAAATAAATCTGCGATATTTTCAAAAACATTTTTTTCCAAATTTCGTGTTTTTGGAAGGCCAGTTCCCGCCGTTCTAGTAGATGGATTTTCACGAAGAAGATTTTATATCATCCGAAATGTAAAAAACCTTATTGATCGCGGGAACCCATATCATTCAGTTGACAGATCTAAAAATTTAGCCCGAAAAATAGGTTTTTTAGAAATTTGATCGCACAAAATTCGCACCTTCGGATGAGTTCTACTCTGAAGCTGTGCATACTACATACACAAAATACATATCAAATTACACAGATTCGCGACTACAATAATCTTATAATCGATTTTTATAAATTCCTGTTTGCGTATTAAAGCTAGAAGTAAAATTAAAAAAAAACACTCAAAATCGAGCTTCAAAATGTCAGCATCATTTAAAGGTAGATGCAGTTAAAATTTTGAAAAATGATACATAAGGGGCGTAGTCCCCATTTTGTTGGCTTCTAGTTTTATTTTGACACGAAGACCGTGCAATGAGTGGATTAGTCACAAATCGATAGAGAACATAAAAAAACTGGTTCGCCTCAACCTGTTTTTACACATTTTTTACATTAAAGTAGACACAGCTTCCATCAAAATAAAGTTTGGAGGTCAATATCATGAACAGTTTGCAATGACAGATCAATTAACCCAAAACTATTCACTTTTTTTCGTATACTTAAGTAGTTCCCGAGTTATAAAGGGGTGAACCTCCGCTTCAGCTATGTTAAAAAATTGGCAATATTGCCCATATATATTTACTTCAAAACCCCGAGAAGTGTAAACTTCCTCAAGATAAATGTTGCCTTTTTAATCAGGGCCTTGAACGGTACTTGTTCCGATTCTTACAGGTTCAGAAACAGTTTCGAAAAAAAAGGTTCTGAAATTAGTACCGGCTTTATTGCAGTACATATTATGGGTTCTGCCGATGTCATTGTAAGACGAAGTTGGAATGAAATTGGAATGTCGATCAGCTGCTACATCACCTGCCACATTTTCAATTTCCCACCGAAATGCCTTTATTGTGGCTTTTTGTGATCTTTGAAGCCGATCTTGAAGATTGGTCATTGTTTTGACGTGTTCCCATTTAATGGTGCTGGCTATTTTTCTATAGATTTTAGCCGCAATTTTTTTACCGAAGTGACTGTAATTTTCTACGGGTATTTGGAGGGAAAGGTATTTGCAGACAATTTTCGAATTAAGATCTCCCATTTTCGGTGTTTTTAATATTTTTTTAATATTTTATTCGCCTTTTCTACCGCAATGTCCTTCCAGAAATTATTTAAAAGATCGCTACAACAAAAATCTGCTTTGAAAATGACTGTTTCAAGAATGAAGACAAATGTCGAACTTTGACAAATTTGAATTTAATTCGCATATGCAATTTTCGCACCAGGGCGGAATAAGTATAAGTTATCAACATACGACCTTTGTAAAACACATATCCCAATATGCCTGATGAGCCGCTTAACCAACAGCGAAACCCGTCGCATAACATACGTTGTGCAAAATTTCGTATCAATCGGACAGTTTAGTACACCATTTACCTAAAATCGGAGGGAAATATATATGGAAGCTATATCTAAATCTGATCCGATTTTCACGAAACGTGTGCGAAGTTTAAATCAATCGGACAGTTTAGTACACCATTTACCTAAAATCGGAGGAAAATATATATGACAGCTATATCTAAATCTGATCCGATTTTCACGAAACGTGTGCGAAGTTTAAAAAATCGGACGAAAATATATATGGGAGCCATATCTAAATGTGAACCGATTTTCACGAAACTTAGCACACACCATTCTAAAGAAAATTCAGTACGCAATGCCAAATTTCGTGAAAATCGAAAGATAAACAGGGACTTTGGTGCACCATTTACATAAAATCGGACGAAAATATATATGGGAGCTATATCTAAATCTAAACCGATTTTTCATCGTTCTAGACTTATTTCAGTCCATTATGCAAATTGTACCAAAGCCCCTATACTTCTTTCGATTTACATAAATCGGACGAAAATATATATGGGAGCTATATCTAAATCTGAACCGTTAAAAGATTAAATTCCTTTGTAAAATTTGTGTATATTTTTGTTTATTTTCACCATATTATAAAAAATCAAATTCAAAACCATTTAAAAATATATATGTATAGCTAACAAAATTGTATAAATAAGTACATACTATGTATGTGTTGGAAGTGGCAATATATAAGTATATAGTAGTTACATTGTAAGTACATTGTTCCTAAAAAAATTGTTACTATAAATTCGTTAATTTATATTCTATGAAATACTATTATTGTGAGCTTGTAATGACTTTCTCATTACTAGGAGCTTGTGTTTTTAATTTATAATTTTCTTCCGCGATACTTAATAAACCCGACGCTGCCGACGATCCTGTATGGTCGACCAGACTGCGGAGAACACCATTTGGTTTTTGCAGCAACTCATATGGATGGCCAAATTCAACGGCTTGACCAGCATCCATGACCAAAATACGATCACAATCCATGACGGTGTGTAGACGATGGGCAATTGTGAGGACAGTGCAATTGGAGAATTTCGTGCGGATTGTTTTTTGTATAAGTTTATCCGTTCTGAATAGGGGAAAAATTAAAAGAATTATTTAGAGCTTCCCATATCGTAAAAAGTAATATATATTAATACTTACTCTGGATCCACATTGGCTGTGGCTTCATCCATAATAAGGATTTTATTTTTACGCAAAATTGATCTTGCCAAGCAAACCAATTGCCTCTGACCCACACTGAAATTCGCACCACCATCATACATGGGACAATTGAGACCGCCTATCATTGTTGAAACATGACCCTTAAGTTCAACCTCTTCCAAAACTCTCCAAATATCAGCATCACTGCACACACCCAATGGATCCAAATTGTAACGTAAGGTACCCGAAAATAGTACAGGATCTTGAGGTATAATTGAGATTTTACTTCTCAAATCGTACAGGCCTAATTGTTCGGTATTAATGCCATCAATATATATGGCACCTTCATTGTTCGCCAAACGGAATAGAGCCTGAACAATTGATGATTTTCCCGCCCCAGTTCGGCCAACAATACCAATTTTTTCAAATGGTCTTGTTGCCATATTTAGATTTCTCAAGACATAATCTCCGTTAGGATTGTAACGCATTTTGAAATTGACAAATTCAATGCGACCTTCGGTGGGCCATTCTCCTTTGGGCTTATTCTTTTCTTCCGTCTCCATTGCCGATTCGGGTGGTTGGTCAATGTATTCCATAACACGTTCTACACAGGTCATTTGATTTTCCAATTCGGCAGTTTGACGCATACCCCATTGACACATTCCGATCATTGTTGTCGAATGCAGGATAGCCAAACCCACCTCACCGCTATTGAAATGTGAACTCAACACGAGAAAACTGAATGTTACCAAGGTGATATAGATCAAACAGATGACATCTGTCCATAGGGCAAAGGCTCGATTGCAGGAAATAAACAGGAACCATGCTGAGGTGTTTGAATTTTGGAAGCTATGAAATTCCTTTTCTAAGGCACGTTCAGCTTCTAAGGCTCGAATGGTGGATAGACCTTGGAATGTTTGATTTGTAAGCGAATAGACAGGACTGCGAGCTGGAAAGGAAAGAGAAGATTCAATAGTTGAAATTAGAAAAGTTTCAATACGGGATAGAAGACCTTCTTCTATGGCATAAATTTGAAGATCGAATTGTTGGAATTAGAAAAAATTTCAATAGGGAATAGAAGATCTTACATAAATTTTTTTGATTTTTTTTGCACAATTTATTTTTATTTATACTCACATATCGATTCCAAACGTTTAACACTGCGACTTGTCATCGTATAAACATAACGGATGCCAATCAGGCACATCAAGATCACACAAGCAGGCAGGAGAAGCCAATAGTTTGCAATGGCCACAATAAGTATTACACCGGAAATGTCGATGGCGAACTGGAATTATAAGAATAATAAAAAAACAACTTAGTATCATTACAGATTTATACAACTAATTTTCCCTACTCACCGATATACAATCCATTAATGTGGGTGGTAAATCAGCATCAACTGTACGAATATCTTTGGAGAATCGATTGAGAATACGACCCGATGGATTTGTATTGAAAAAGTACATGGTGGTACGTGTAATACCACGAAATAGACGATCATGCAATTTCAATGAAATTCTCAAACACATTGTGTAGAAACCGAAGGTACGCAGGATAAAGACAATTAGTGCCGAACCCAACATTACCGAATATATAATCATACGATTTTTGCGCTCCTCATATTCACCACTGTCCAGTGTTGTGGTTGTATTCGATGGTATCGGCTCCTCTGTAGTATTTAAATACTTATCGAGTTGCAGGTGGCCGACATTTTCTTCCCAGACGACCCTGAAAATTCGATGAGAGGGAAGGTGAGAAGGGAATTGATTAAAAAATTGAAGGACAACAAGAAAAAATGGCATCGACGAACATTTTATTGGGTAAGGAAATTAACTTTGTATATGGGAAATATTATTAAAAAAATGATTTCCACTTACCATCTAGATAGGAAATAATCGACACCATTCAACATAATTCGAGCCGAAATGAAAAGACCAAAGATAATGAAAAGGAAGAATGAACTTTCCAATGCCTTGAAATAGGATAAATAGACACCCAGCTTAACGGAACCAATTGCTTGCTGTTCCTTGTTATCATCTTCGACGGGATCTTCATCGGGGCCCAACAGGCCATGGACACTTTCTGCAATACTCTCCGTTTCACTCAAAGTGCGTACACGTATATCACGCGCCGCATCACCTGCCGTTTCGCTCATGCTTTCCTTGTGCGTCTGAGCCAAATATTGGAATTGTTTTGATTTTCTCAATTCCCTATAATTTCCTTGGGCCACGATACTACCCGAACCCATAAGTATTAGATGTTTAACATCGAACAAATACTGCAACTGATGTGTGACTAGTATACATATTTTCTTCGATAGGAACTCCTTAACACATTTATCGTATATATGTTTACCGACATTAGTGTCGACAGCGGATAGTGGATCATCCAACAGATATATATCAGCCTTACGATATATAGCACGGGCTAAATTAACACGTGCCCTTTGGCCACCACTTAAACTAGCACCACGTTCACCAATCATTGTCAAATCTCCTCTCGGCATCAACTCAAGATCTCTATTTAAGGCACATACTTCCAGGACCTTTTTATAACGCTTCTCATTATAGTCCTCCACAAAAACCACATTATCTCGTATGGTACCCTCAAATACCCATGGTTCCTGGGAACAATATGAGATTTTGCCATTTATCAACACTTCGCCGGAATCAATTTCCAATTCACCCAAGAGTACATTGAGAAATGTGGATTTTCCAGAGCCGACGGGACCAACCACAGCAGCCAAGGTGCGTTCTTGAATTTCACAGTTCAAATTATCGACGGCCTTGTTTTTATATCCCTCCGTTGTATCCCATGATGCACTTACATTGCGTAATATAATACCTTTACTAGGCGCATCAACATTAACAATTCTGCCATTAGTTTGGTTATTTGCGCCGGCAGTGAGGGGAACATTTTCAGCATGCTCAATTCCGCCATTGGCTTCCAAGTGTTTCTTCTTGTTGATTATGAACTCCTCTTCCTTATTCTTCAGTGGTGGGGGAGATTCTTCTTCATCATCATCACCATCTAATAGAAAGTCTCTACATCTGCGGCAAGAAACCAGTGCTTCCGAGATGTACTTTATTGCCAGGGGCCAGAAGTGTACCATTGACTCGTTCAGCATACTAAAGTATGAGGAGACGGTATAGACCCGCTTTGCCGTCAAAGTATCTCCCATATAAACATACGATACCAGGGCCAAGAATACCGACAGCGGTGAAATCATCGAAGAACAGCATAAAGTGGCATGGATGAAGGATGTACCGCGAATAGCTTTAACCTCCTTGCGACGAACCTCTTCCACAACTTTGGCAAATGATTTCTCCCAGGCATACATTTTGATCACCTGGATACCCTGAATGATTTCATTCATCAGCTTTACTCTCAAATCGGTTTGTTCCGCTGTCTTTTGGCGATAATAGGCGGCATTTTTAGCAGCCCAACCCTGTAGCGGTATAAAACTCAACATAAATGCGACACCAATAATAGCTGACAGTCCGATTTCCTTGTACATTAAATAGCCGATTAACAGCGATTCGGCCGGACCCTTCCACACATCATGCAGAAAACTGAGTGCATAATCGAATGAACTCAAATCATTTGATAGAATATTAATGGCACGGGCTCGTAGCCGATCGCTGGCAGCACTTTTGGGAAGTTTCAGACATTTCCGATACATAAGACCCGAGAGGCCTAGACGAATTTTTGTACCCAAATTAAAGAGATAGTAAACGTATGGATGCAGTAACATGACCCGCATGATGCAACATACAACAATGCCAATCGCAAACATATAGGCATTCTCTTTGCTTATCGACGTTTGTCCGGTGGCAAAATATGATACCAGGCCACCCAGAAATAATGGTTGTAGAGCTCTGTAAAAATAGGGGTGGAGAATTATTTTTTTGTCAGATTCAAGAAGAGAATGTTGACTTACTTTGATAAAGATTCACATATTGATACGGGTATACCAAGTGGTATAAATACCGAACCGTAGGCTCTGGCGATCAATCGCGCAACACTGGGATTTTTCTTTTTCTTTTCATCTTCCCATAGGTGGTTGAATTTCTCTGTAACTTTTTCACTGTCTAAACTTTTGCGATGCTGATAAAGTTCTTCATCGTGTATAGGTCCCTTGAGGCCACGTCCAAATAGATCTCTCATCCACCTGAAAATAAGAATAAAACATTTTTTGATAACAAATCTTTAAAATGTAAAAAGTACTAAATGTGGTACTATTTGGAGAACCGTGTAGAGTGTAGAATTCATGTAGCAGAGGGTGTTTTTGGACATTAGAACTATAAGTATCCGAAAAGTACTGAAATGTACTATATTTGGTACAATTTCGTAGCATGTGAATGGATAGAGCTAAAAACTTGAAATTTGGAATGCAAATTAAAAGGTTGATAAGTAGGGTCGATATAAGGAGGTGATTTTCAAAACGTGTACTCAAATATACGAAAAGTACTAAAGTGTAATAAATTTGGTACAAATTGAATTTGGAGAAACGGATGAAGCTGGAATCCTTAAATTTGAAATCAGCATTACCGTCGGAGTGTAGGAGAGTGATAATTAGGTGGGTAGTTTTGGAAATTGTTTACTTATGTGTACGAAAAGTACTAAATGATACAATATTTGGTACATTTTGGATTTAGGTGAACCGATAGAGCTGGACCACTGACATTTGGAGATAGATTTGGAAATTCGGAGTTATGTGTACTAAACGGTACTAGATTTGGTACAATTTGAATTTTGGGTGCATCGATAAAGCTGGGATCCTGAAATTTGAAGATAGAATCATTGTTGGGTTATAGGATTTGGGGTATGTAGAAAGTTTTTGAAATTCGTACTTATGTGTACTAAATGGTACTAAATTTGATACAATGTTCGGGTGTAGGATTGGGATATGTAGGATGTTTTATACTAATGTGTACTAGATGTCACCAAATGTGGTTTTGAGTGAACCGATAGAGCTGAACACTGAAGTTTGGAAATAAAGTTACTGTTGGAGTGTAGAATTAGGGTATGGATGTAGTTTTGAAAATTCATATACATGGGTACTAAATTTTGTATAATTTGAATTTTTGTTGAAATGTGTTTTTTGGTGAGCCGATAGAGCTGGAATCTTGAAGTTAGGAAGTTTTGGAAATTCATACTTATGTGTTCTAAATGGTATATAATTTGGTACAATTATATTTGAGTGAAGCGATCGGGCCGGAATCCTGATATTGGGAAATATGATTTCTATTGGATTTATGTGTACTAAATTTAGAAGGCCACTGTTGGGGTTTATGATTGGGATATGTAGGAAGTTTTGTTCTAATATGTACTAAATGGTACCAAAAGTGGATTTGAGTGAAGTGAGTGAGCGATCGAGCTGGAATCCTGAAGATTTGGATGAACCTATAGATTTTACATCATGATATTTGGAATTAGTTTTGGAAATAAGTATTACAAGATCTCTTCCCAAGGAAGAATATTTCCTGCTCTTCCACATGAAGAAACACACGTCCAGCTCTCCTCTCCACAGGAAGAAAAATACCAGCAGCTCATCCACAGGACGAAGAATACCTGCAGCTCTTCCACAGGAAGAAAAAGACCAGCAGCTCTTCCACAGGAAGAAGAATACTTTGCAGCGCTTCCACAGGAAGAAGTATACCTGCTGAACAATTCCTGCAGTTCTACCCCATGAAGAATACCTCCTGCTCTTTCACAGGAAGAAACACATGTCCAGCTCTCCTATAGGAAGAAGAATACCTCCAGCTTTCTTATATGAAGAAAAATACCTGCCGGTAGGAAGAAAAATGCATCCAGCTCTTCTCCTATAGGAAGAAGAATGGTTTTCCATAGGAAGAAGAATACCTGCAGCTCTTCACAGGAAGATATGGAGGTAGTTTTGGAAATACATATTATGGGAGAACAAAGAAACTATATGGTACAAAATTTTAATTATGGTCAACACATGTGTGTGTATGTTGATTAGCTCTCCTGGCATATGCAGTTCTCTATGTAAAAGCAAAATTATATATTTTGATATGTGAGAATAATTTAATTGTCACATTCGCTAACGAAGTAGCGGGCATATGCTAGTCAGAAAAATAAACCGGTACACAGACCAATCATATCTTGGTAGCGGAATCATCCGCCTCTAAACACAATTGTTGCAATTTCTCATTGAAGTTAGCCAAGCTGATTTTCAACATTGTACTAGATTACGTTCAAGGTTTAGGGTCGTAAGAATTTTGGAGAAAATTTGTACTATGTACTAAATGGTACCAAAAGTGGATTTGAGTGAAGTGAGTGAGCGATCGAGCTGGAATCCTGAAATTGGGAAATATGATTTCTATTCTATTTATGTCAATTAAAATTGGTAAAATTAAGATTTGGATGAACCTATAGAGTTTAAATCATGATATTTGGAATTAGTTTTGGAAATAAGTATTACAAGATCTCTTCCCAAGGAAGAATATTTCCTGCTCTTCCACATGAAGAAACACACGTCCAGCTCTCCTCTCCACAGGAAGAAAAATACCAGCAGCTCATCCACAGGACGAAGAATACCTGCAGCTCTTCCACAGGAAGAAAAAGACCAGCAGCTCTTCCACAGGAAGAAGAATACTTGCAGCGCTTCCACAGGAAGAAGTATACCTGCTGAACAATTCCTGCAGTTCTACCCCATGAAGAATACCTCCTGCTCTTTCACAGGAAGAAACACATGTCCAGCTCTCCTATAGGAAGAAGAATACCTCCAGCTTTCTTATATGAAGAAAAATACCTGCCGGTAGGAAGAAAAATGCATCCAGCTCTTCTCCTATAGGAAGAAGAATACCTCCAGGTTTTCCATAGGAAGAAGAATACCTGCAGCTCTTCACAGGAAGATATGGAGGTAGTTTTGGAAATACATATTATGGGAGAACAAAGAAACTATATGGTACAAAATTTTAATTATGGTCAACACATGTGTGTGTATGTTGATTAGCTCTCCTGGCATATGCAGTTCTCTATGTAAAAGCAAAATTAGTACAAAATGAAAGAAATCGCTGTTGCAACATAAATTTACTGTGAAAAAATTCATTTCGGGCCGCCCCCCTGCGTACGTCCATGCTCGATGAGCACTAAATGCTAAGTTGCATTTTCTTATTCCCCTACCTTGTAGTATATATAAGTTGATATGATTAATGGTACTTTTGTGGATCGCATAACAATTAAATTCTTTAGATCAACGAATTATCTATGCCATTCTTCAAATTCCATCAAATTGTTGGTAATTTAAAAACAAACAAAAAATCACCAAAACAAAATTTGCCGATGTTAGTTTATCTGTACTAGCGTTAGCCAGTTTTGTGGGTGTTTTAACCGGCCGCATATCTCCTGGCAAAAACACAAAAAAAGAAAAACACAAAAATCTACCCAAAAATGCTAATAAATAACCCAATGTTAATGATAACCGTCTAATTTATTACGCTCTAGTACTCCGCATTAATCGAGCACCTGTTATCGTTAAACGATCACCATAATATTTGGCATTTCCCTTATCAAGGTTAAATCTAAACATTAGAAAGTATGATTTTTTCTTTATCTGCAAACGACAAACGTGTTTTTCCTTTAAAAAATAGCGTGCATTCCGTTTTTTTTTTTTTTTTTTGAAAACTCTTCAAGTTCATTTAATCGTATTTAATTTTATATAATTTGTTTGCAGTTACCAAGTTCGATTAAACATAAATGTTGTTTTATGTTCACAGTATCGGGCAAAATTATTAGAAATGGGTGGAGGTTTTTTTTTGTAATATTTAGATGGAAATTTTATAAATGAAAGTACTATTTCAAAATCATGTAGAATTGTTTTGAGATATGCTAGATGATTTGTGTAAACATATATGTGTTGCCTGTTGCCACTTCAGATTTTATGACAATTTCATGGCATTCACATGATTTAAAAAACAAGAAAAGAGCCTATTTACAGTCGAATTCGGTTTCGGTTTTCGCCTAATTTCAGAAAAAAATTTTCTCTTAAGCAGAATTTTCAATTAAAAGAACTTCGGATAAATTAAACTCGTTGCGCTTAAACGAAGTTTTCAATCAATATCTGAAAAATCGTAAATTTCATAAATCATATAATGAAATGAATTGAGTAAGAACTGCTTTTATGAGATGTGATGCCTTGTTTTGGTGCTGAAACAGTTTTGTAATTGAAATTATCTCGATTTAACATAGGATTTCGAGCAAATCAATTTTTATAGCTCAATACCAAAAGGCCTAGCATGATCAAATTTAGTTCTATTAGAAACGATCCGACGAGTACTAGCCACAAAGTTCCTTTGCAATCGGTAAAAAATTGAAAAGTTTTGTGCATAGCTTTATCACATGCGTATAAAGATTAGGGGTAAGTTGAATAAAAAAATCATTACCATTTAATTTTGCCCACCAATGTTTATATTGTACATAGTAAAGTAAATAAATCACATCATTATTGATTCTCCACCATACCTTGCATTAGCCTTGCAATACTGAAGCTTAGGTCTTTTTATTTGTTGTTGTTTTTTTTTGTTTGTCATTGAATTTCTGTAGATTTAAATATAGTTTCGATTAGAGAACAACATATTTCATCACAAAATCGTATTATTTCTCTCTATAATTTTAATGTTCTTTATGACGTTCGGTTGAAATGCAATCCTGTTGATACGCACAACTTATTTTTAACGATAACTCCCTCTCAAACACATTTGCGGTTATATGCGGATTTATTTATACTTAATCTCTATGACAAATTGTTGATCAAAGCGACTTGAGGCGGAAATTACTGGTTTATGTTTTAGAATATTTTGTTTTGATTTTTTTTGTATTTATAAAAAAATCTTGTTTCTTTTAAAGGGAATCATCATAGATTTTGGAGACCAATGGTTTTCATTATGCAATGGTTTTCTTTATTCAATGGTTTTAATTATTCAATGATTTACTTTATTTATTCGTTTATGGAGGTTTTTTTGCCTACAAGAAATTATGTTGTCCTTTTTTGAACCCTAAATTTCCGTTTATCGGGAATAAGTGGACTTATAATTAAATTTAGAGACACCAGAAACATACAGTATTCAAAATCCGTATTCGCACACCAATGATAAACCTTAAAATCATTAAAAATTCTAAAAAAAGGTATGAAATTTATTTCGTATATAAAAAAGAAAAAGGACACAAAAATGTGACATTCTGTTTCATGGATTAAAAGCTAGATGGCGCTGTTTGCATTATACTGCTAACAAACCACTTATTCGTCCAGATGGCAAATCAATGTTATTGTTGTAATTAACAGGATATGTGAAAAAAATTGTATTTCAGTGCTTTCCCTGTTGAGGACTGTGTTATTTATTAAAATATATCAAATTCAGTGCAACCGTTACAAAATAGTTCGAGAAACTCGATATGGGTAAAAAATCAAGCGAACTTTCAGACGAACAACGGAAAATTGTAATAGATGCACACAATGTTTTAAAATCTTTACAGAAATTTGAAAAAAAGACTTGTCGTATCAAGTTACAAAAAAGTAAGCAATTTAATAAAGCGGGTCGGAATTTAAACCATTCCAAGTTCTGAAGAAGACATTGTGCATTACTACATTGTCAAATATGCACAGATCCTTCTGTAAGTGGCGTACAACTGATTGAATTTTGAAACTTTGAATTCATGTCACACCTCAAACAGTGCGAAATATGTCGTATCAAGTTACAAAAAAGTAAGCAATTTAATAAAGCGGGTCGGAATTTAAACCATTCCAAGTTCTGAAGAAGACATTGTGCATTACTACATTGTCAAATATGCACAGATCCTTCTGTAAGTGGCGTACAACTGATTGAATTTTGAAACTTTGAATTCATGCCACACCTCAAACAGTGCGAAATTACATCGAATAAATTGGATTTAAAGATCCATATGCGTTAATAAACAAATACGATTTTTTTTTCAAAAAGTGCAAAACAGGCCTTTTTAACTTCTAGAGGAGAATTGTTTTTATACACAAAAGGTTGTCAGGGTATTATAACTTTGTGCAGCCCCAAGAGTTTGTAATGCCGCGAAATATTGGTCTTGGATCCACCTTTATGTATACCGATCGTCATAACTCGACCACGAAATTTTATATTGAGAAGGGGAGGTGGCCAGGGAATAAACAGGACTATTTGTATAATGATCGGTCAATATTTAGTGGAATTTTGTAAAAATGGCAAAATTTATATTCTATGGCGTATACATGGTGAGATAAAAAACTGCAACAAAGTCAAACGCCATAATTTTTAAATTTTTTTGAATGAAAGCAACAAATTTCCAAAAATGCATCAAATTTTAGAATAAGTTTAGACTTGTTCGAATTGGTCATCTTTGGCACGAATTATGGCCTTCAAACGGCCAATGAAACTGTCACACGCTGTCCGAATGTTGCTCTGCGGTATTTTGGCCCATTCCCGGCGAAACGCTTGCTTGAGGTGATCGACACTTTGGTATTTTTTAGTGTCAACATTGCTTTCCAAAATACTCCAGACACAATAGTCCAACGGATTGGTATCCGGAGATTTTGGAATGACCAAGGCCTGCGGACAAAATGTTTGCGTGCCCAAGGCTTTAATACACCCTCCAAAATAATTTTGCGATAATATTAGGCATTTATTTTGATGCCACGGTCGATTAATACGAGCGGCTATTATGGCGGCCCACACCAACACCATGGGCGGCGCTTGAGTTCTGGTGGCCAACCGAAGGAGCATATTTTCAGCTGACCTCTTTGGCAAGTAATCACGATCATTTTGTTTGTTTACAAACGGCTGGACAACGAATGTTTTCTCATCAGAGAAAACTAAATTCGGTCATGCGAAGCATCTCTTCAGTGGCTTTACCCCGAGCTCATATTTCAATATTTGCCGAATGGAATATTGCGATATGTTCAGCTCACTGCGAAGCGGGTTTCGATCAAGTCGCATCTTTACTTTTCGAACCATTTTCTTCTGTCCAGTTCCTTGACGTCGGGCTACGCTACCAGTATCACGGTAACGAGCGATGGTACAAGACACAAAGGATTTATTCACATTTAAATGCTAGAGTGCTCTAATGATAATCACTTGTGGTTTTCCAGCCAAATATAAATACATCACACTATCACGCTTGAATTCCACCAAGAATAACATTTTTTCTGGAAAATTCTCACCAAAATGCTTTTGAATGCTTGTAAACAATATATGTAATGAGCTGTCACTGGAATAATTTTAACTGCTGTCGGGCTTAGAAATGACAGCAGTTGTTTGCAGTTTTTTCATCTCCTGCATATTTACTCCTGAAGAACATAGATCAGAGAAGTTGATGGTATATCCAAGAGGAGTGCTTGGTCTTTAAAGTGATATCAATTATATTGTTGTATATACTCGAATGTGGTAGTTATACATAAATATTTAAAGTTGGCTATGTATTAGGCTATGTGCTGATTGCTATGGAATTTTACATGATGTTTACACGGTGAAGGGGATCTGACCAAATACTTAGAACGTCTATTCCAAAACCTAAAGTGACCAAAATTCACCCCGGGATAGTAAGATAAAAAAAATATGCCAGGGTCAGAAAGTTTAGCTGTTCCATAACCGGTCAAGGGGGTGCAAATATCGCGATATATGAAGAAAGTTCGATTTTTGTGATAGTTGTGTAGGGTATCATATGGTCGACCCGTCCGACTATACTGCTCCGTTCACGGATGAGTCCAAACTCAATATAAAAAATATTGGATGTACGCCTAAAAATTTTGGCGAGACAACAGTACGAACTTGTCTCCTTATAATCGCATTCCCAATCAAATATGGTGGAGGCTCTGTAATGATAATGTAATGATTTTATGATGACATCATGACAGCAAAGGACTATATAAACATTTTAAAGCAAATATATCCAACAAAATATTAACATTTATTAGAAAAGTCTGAGAGGAAAATGTTTATTAGAAAGTAGCTATCATGGTAGAACAATATGAGGTAGGACAGTTTGAGGAGAATAACAAAAAATCAACTATGTAGGTTGTGGCTTCTTCTGCTAAATATGAAATAAATATACGCAACAGGTTGTTGTGTTTTTGTGACATTTTTTTTAAAACACATACTAAGTAATAAAAACGAGAATAATTAATGGAAGGTTGTAATTTATTCCCATAATCCCATCGTGTCATCCATAAAACTCCTTGTACATTAGAACTTTTTACCGGGTTAACCTACTTTATGAGGATTTATTTGACATATATGCAAAGAAAATGACAATTGAAACCCACTGGGTTAACGAAATCCGGTTAAATGTAAACGTACTATAACAAAGTAATTTATTCCAGACGAAAGCAGTAAAAATTATTTTCATTTCAATAAAATTTGAATAAATTTTAATTTAATTGACATAGTATTCAAAACAATACACACACATACACAGAATATGTATTTTGATTTGATAGAATAAGCCACCTTGAGGAAAACAAATTGTAATCGGATGGTAGCTATGCCCTACCTAGTAATAATTAAACCATGGTTAAAAGTGAAGAAATATGTTAAATTTTCCGATAATTTAAAGAAAATTTATTATGTGTATGATCCCCAACACAAAAAAGGCAAATTCTTTCGAATTTATAAAGAAAACATCGAAAACAATTTCCATTAATATAAAATTCTTGCAGGTTCTGGAACAGATCATATATTTCAGTTGTTATAATTTTGATCACCAGTGTATTTACAATTCCAACAAAAAAATGGTGTGCGCTCTTAATCGAACTAATTGTTATTAAATGAATTCAATAACGGTTTAATTTATCGAATAATCCCAAAAAGAATTGAGAACGAAAAAAAACAATATTACACAAAGACGATCTGTCGCATAACAACATCAGATTATTTATGCTGTTGTCACCCCTTTTTTACTATGACCAGCTGTTTGTCAAATATTGTAGTGAAAAAAAAAAACACCCGACGATTTCTTCTTTATCAACATTTCGACCATGTACTTTTCCAAACGAGATATGATGTTGTTGAACATTGTCCTTGACTGTTTCTACTTACCAAAAACTCAACCGTGAAAAGACATTTGCCGTTGAAAAGGGATTTTTTGGACGGACAACTTTTCTACGTGTCCTATTCATTGTTGTTGCTTTTATGTGTTGTCGATATGTTCCTTAATAAATATTTACACTTGTTTTCTACACTATTCTTTCAATTCTTTCACACAAACACACACCGTGAGAGATACACTGAATGAACTTTATATAAACAACTAATGGGGGGAACTAACTGAGCAGTGAAAACAACACACTATAATGCTGCTGCTGTGCTTTTATTCTTTTGTTAGCTTATTCATCGTCGTCTTAGTCGCCAGCCAGCCAGACACACGTGCTCTCTTCGATTGACTATTTAATACTACATTGGTTCAACAAAAAACCGAAAAAATAACAGCCAGCTAATTGAGAATTGAATGTTTATTTCATTTATGTATTCGAATCGAAACATTTCAATTACGATAGGCAACGAACGAACGAATGTCTGGCAAAATATTAGAGATATGTTGACCAAGTTCATTATCAAAATGTTTTTACTTTGGGAATTGTAAACATTTAATAGAAACACAATAACAAAACAAAAACAAATTAATAATTCAAAACATCGTCTGACACATTTAGAGAAATTAATTTAATAATTCCACAAAAAGAGTTGACGGACGTGTGTTGTTAATCTACTGGTATTAACTGGTTTTACTGCATTCGGTTTTTTTGGCAACCAAAATTAAGAGAGTATAAACAAAAATGGGATTCTCTTTTATTCTCTTATTAAATGTATGTTAGTGAAAGAATTTCTTTGATAAAAAATAGTTTTTAAATTTGAATTTAAATTTAATTTCAAAATTTATTTAATCTATGTCCATGAGCAAGTGATAAGCTGGTGTAAGATCTGATGTGTATGTACCCTAGGAAGTATATTTAATTGTATAAAATTCAAAATTTAAGAATTTGTAACAGTTAGGTATTCACACGCCATTATCTTCCGATGCGGGTTACAAGTATTTTTCATAGCATAAAGACATTTTAAAGGGAGAAACGAAAGTCGGGTGGGGCCGAATATATGATACTCTACCACCATGGCTATATACAAGGGGGCCTCCCAAGATTCTTATTTTAATCTGCACTTTTGCCAACACTAAATACAATTTATTCTAGACTTTCATTTACTTATATATTATTTACATGAAATCGGATGAAAATACAGTATATGTGAGCTGTATTCGTACACCCTCTAAAAATTTAGAATTTACGAAGTATAGATTTTTCAAAATTTCATATCGATTTATTGTATTTATGAAAAAAAACGTGTGTATACAAAATTCACAAATCAAGCACTAGATGGCGAGGTTTTCATGTTATGAATTACAACAAGTAAAAAAGTGTCAGTCGGTGTTGACGAGAGATATATTCCCTCACCATATGGTTTGCAAAGGAAGTCTTCGGAGTTATACACAGGTTTTATTATTCCTTTTATATAAGTTATATGTTTAATTATGCTGTAGAATGTACCAAAGGAGAGGTCAGATAGGACTTGATCTATGTTGGTAAAGATAATAGATTGTGCAAAATTTGGTTCAAATTGGACATTCCATTCGCCTTGTGCAAAGCTTGGGTCAAATCGGACATTTCATTCCCCTGATATTGGATTTATAAATATTGAAAACTTGGCCATTTGTCGGTGAGGTAGCAGAAGGAGTGAACCTTCAAACTTGATCTATTCTTGGTAAAGATAATAAATTGTGCAAAATTTGGTTCAAATCGGACATTCCATTCGCATGATTCATAAATATGAAAAATGTAGACCATTTGTGTGGGAGGAACCAGAAGAAGTGCACCAAAGGATTCCGTCTTCAGACTTGATCTGGGCTTGGGCAAATCGGCCATTCCAATCGCCTGATAATTGATTTATAAATATTGAAAATTTCGACCATTTGTGGAATAGGTATCTGAAGGAGTGGACCAATGGGTTCATCTTCAAACTTGATCTAGGCTTGTGCAAAGTTTTGTTCAAATTGTACATTCCATTCGCCGGATATTGGATGTATATATATTGAAAATTTTAAACATTTGTGGTGGAGGTACCAGAAGATCAATGGATCCCATCTTCCTACTTGATCTAGGCTTGGCAATGATAATACGTTGTACAAAGTTTCGTTAAAATCGAATAGTCCGTTTGCATGTTAATATAATATAATTTTTTGGAACAATTTTGACTATTTTATGGGGGAGTTACAAGAAGGAGTGGGCCAATGGGTCCCATCTTCAATCTTGAATTTATATGTATTTAAAATTTTGACCCTCTGCGGGGGAGGAACCATAAGGAGTGGACCAATGGGTCCGGGACGGGACTTGATCTAGGCTAGGTAAAGATAATATGTTGTGCAAAGTTTCGTTAAAATCGGATAGTGCGTTTGCATGTTATTAAAAAGTTAATTATTCCCCAGCTTCGAACTTAAACTAAGTTTGGAAGAAATAGTAATATGTGCAATGTTTCGATGAAATCGATTATTCCCCTTGAGAGTTATCGTGCGCACCAGCCAGACAGACATGCGGAAACGGACTTGGTCCAACGGATTTGGTCCAAAGAAACATGGGGTCTAAAACCATTATTACGATGAGGCACATTTTCACCGTATCAATGTGTATATACCCTCATTAGCCATAAGGCTGAGGGTATAACAACCGTATTCATACAGAGGAACAATATATATAATATAAATTGGATATACTATTGATTTTATGACCGCTGATATTTGGTGACATCTCGTGTTTGAAACTATTTTTAAGTCGTATATGGCCTTTGAGGGGTGTTATTATATAAATACCTCTGTTTAACAATTATGGTGCAAAACTTCGATCGCGTACGTCGAATTTTAGGTAACACTGTAATGCCAACTCAATTTGCCTGCTGTGTCGTTTTATTTATATCGCCATATCGAATTTGAAACGCATGTTACGTTGGATTCAAATCAATTGGAGTTTTTAATTACAATGACTCATTGCAAACATTGACTTTTCTCTATAGCATTGATTTGATTTCTCTTCGTCAGTGACTTTTTTGTACATTGGGTATATTCTGTTTTGTTGTTGATCGAAATTTAGTAAAAAGTAAATATTCTTATTCAATATATTAAAAAAAAAACATCTTCCAAAAACAAAATATATATAAAAAACATGTTAAAAATCGGAAAGTTCGCTCGGTTCGGAAGTTTTTACGGCCGAGATTTTCATATGGAGGCTATACATAAAGGTTCGAAAAATTAGAAAATGTACAATGCTAAACACCTAAAATAAGTCCGAGACATTTAACGAAAAAAAAACAAATATTAAAAATTGAAACAAATGTTTGAAAATAGATTGTCTATATAAAAACAAAGATACCTAGAATATGAAATGAATCAACACAGCAGCACCAACGATTAACTTCAATGAAAGTCAGCAACTATCACGAACAAAGTTCCTCCGATATTCCTAGTATGGCACATTTGTCATAAGTAAGAATACGGGATGCAGAATTTCGGGAAGAAGAGTGTGAAAGGAATCGTATCCAGCATCAAATAATGAGGAGATATTCATACAACATCACATCATTTTACTCGTCGTCAGGATGATACATTACGATTGTTCGAACAGGAGAGAACACTCGCATCAGCACAGCAGCACCAACGATAAACTTCAATGAAAGTCAGCAGTCGTGTTCCACCAGGAAAACGCTAGGCCACACACATCTGCAGTGACTCGCCAGAAACTTCGGTATCTTGGTTGGAAAATTTTAATGCATCCGACATACAGTCCGCCAAGAGAATATTATCATTTTCGTTGCATTACAAAATGTCTTTAATGATAAAATACAGGGTATTATGTCTTTGTGCATATGTTTGTAACAGGCAAAAGGAAACGAGATAGACACATGGTTCCTTTTTAGAATATGCATAGAATCAATTTTTAAATCGACGGACATGCGTCCGTCCCATATATATTTTCGTCCGATTTAATGTAAATGGTGTACCAATGTCCCTACATATCTTTCGATTTGCACGAAATTTGGCATAGCGTAATTAATTATGTCTAGAATGATGTGTGTTAAGTTTCCTGAAAATCGGTTCAGATTTAGATATAGCTCCCATATATATATATATATATTCGTTCGATTTAAGGTAAATGGTGCGCCAAAGTCCCTAAATATCTTTCGATCTGCACGAAATTTGGCACAGCGTAATTAATTAAGTCTAGAATGATGTGTGCAAAGTTTCGTGAAAATCGGTTCAGATTTAGATGTAGCTCCCATATATATTTTCATCCGATTTTAGATAATTAATGCACCAAAATCTCTGAAAATCATTCGATTTGCACGAAATTGGTCATAGCGTACTGAATTAAGGCTAGAATGACGTGTGCTAAGTTTCGTAAAAATTGGTTCAGATTTAGATACAGCTCCCATATATAGCTTCGCCCGATTTTAGGTAAATAGTCCACGAAAGTCCCTGGAAATCTTTTGATTTCCACGAAATTTGGCACAGCGTAATGAATAAGGTCTAGAATGATGCGTGCAAAGTTTCGTGAATATCGGTTCCGATTTAGATATAGCTCCCATATATATTTTCGTCCGATTTTATGTAATTGGTGCACCAAAGTCCCTATATATCTTTCGATTTGCACGAATTTTGTTATAGGGTACTGAATTAAGTCTAAAATGATGTTGCTAAACTTCGTGAAAAGATCCATAGCTAGGCCGATTGACACAACGTACTGATGTAATATAAATTAGTCTCTGGCAAGTTTCCCCGAAATCGGTTCAAATATATTCTACATATGTTTTGATATATATGTAGAATATACCCAAAGTCGTGAAGGGTATCATATAGTCGGCCCAGTCCGACTTTACTACTTTTCTTACTGGTTTTATATAAAAATAATGGATTTCTTTTTCCGGAAACCAAAATATATGGGAGCTATATCTAAATCTGTAACGATTTTCATCAATTTCAATAGGGTTCGTCCTTGGGAGGTATAAGTGACCTGTGCCAAATTCAATCCAATTAGATCACAAGAATACATGGGCAGACCGAACCATTGGTCTATCTCAATTCCCTTTGCCTGTTACAAACATATGCACAAAGACATAATACCCTGCATCACAGGGTGTTGAATGAAGTGTATAAAGATTTATCATGGAATGTGTGTTTAATATGTGTTTAGATTTGAAACTACAAAATGAATAACCAAACCTGTATATTTTGAAACCAGCAATGGTCTCTACTAAAATTTACATTAAACCATAACGGGAAAACAAACTTTTGTTTAGTAAATTGTTCCACTGTCCCGTTGACAAGTTGCCATGTTTGTGCGTTGCCAACCGCAACGAAATCGAAATCCGTTGCTATAGAAATACGAAAAATTATTTCCAAAAGAAACCAAAACTTAATGCAATAAAGACGCATAGCTTGGAGTAGACTAAAAAAATAAACAAATTTCATAAAAAAATAAAAGTCGAATTGTATTGTAAAAAATGAAATTTATTCCGCTACACACAACAAATACCGCAATTGTGTATAAAAATGCAATATGTTCGGCAGCGACAATGTTGGTGTTGACATTTTTTGCACTTTCGGTTTTGATTCCACTGCTAATGGTGTCACTTCTAAGTCCATATTCTGGCATTGCTGAGTCCCGGATTCTCTATGAACAGCCAAAGGTGCAATTTCAATTCAAGTCGATATTTTATGGTGATATTCGAATGGAAGACAATAATTTGATAGTCTGCAGCACATTTCCACAATTGAACAATGCAATTAATTATAAAAATAATGTTGATTATTGTGATGGTACTAAGGTAAGAAAAGTTTTGAAAAAATCTAATTAAAAATATATTTAAAAAATTGTTTTTTTTTATCTTTCCAGTACTGGACGGAAGATTTGGATTATGATGGCACATTAGATCGTGTACATTTCACCCAACAACTTGAAACTTTGGAGCAGAAATTATTGGGATTTGATATAGTTTTGTTTTTTGAGGCATCTCTGAAGGTAGGTATTATAACATTAATTTATTTTATATCTAAATAAACATTTCTCTTATTTCCAGCACAAATGTGAGTTATCACCCCCTGCTGTACTCATCAAACACATCACCATACCTTATGACTCGCAATTAGCCAGTGGTGTCATTAACATACGTGCCGACTTAGTACTCAAACAATATGTGGAATTTACATGCCCCTTCCCGGGGCGTTATGTCAAAACCAAGTTCCGGCATTTAAATATTTCAAGCAATTCATCGAGTATTAAACAATTCGGTGTGGAATCGCTGTTGGATCAATTAAAATCTAATCCAGCATTTTTTGAATTGGATATTCAAGAAACCTATTTTCGTAGAGGACCTCCAGCCGATGGTCTGTGTATACAATTGGATATTGACATACTGCAATTGGGTGCTCGTTATCATTTAAGTATTTGGGAACGTTTGGGACAATTTTGGTTGTACTTCGCTTCATTCTTTGGCATTTCATTTTATATTATGAACAAGGTGAAAGATTTTCTCTTTGGTCGCCACATTGTACGTTCATGGGAGATAATACCGTGGAAGAAACTCTACTGACAAAGAAATGGTGAACGGATTTATGTTGATGATTATTCGGAGACGAGTGTTTTTTAAAAATATGGGATTTGAAGGGTTGTTTTGTAATAATAAAGAGAGAATATCATACATTCGGTCCTGGTTATTATTCAGAGGAATGGATATTTTAAAGAATATAAAAGAAATTTGGGAAATAAGAATTTTGAATTTAAATTCTTGCTTTTTGGAAGATGGAATTCATATTTCCCAATTTTTTTATAATATAAGAGTTTTTTGCTTAATGTTTGGTAACAATAAAATGAAAGACGTTAAATTTCGATCTTTATATTGAAACCCAACAAGAAAATTTTAGAAATATTAATTATAAGGATTTTACGGCGAAAATAATATAGTCTTCGACATTTATTTGAGTACGCCCTACTTTTTGCGTGCTATGGAGATGAACAAAAATTTTAATATACAATTTTATCCTTATGAAATTATTTATTTATTGTTATATGAATTAAACAACAATAATATAATTAAAATTTATTAAACATAAAACAATTTTGAAATTTGTTCAAGAAAGTTGAAATAGAATTGCTAATAATAAAATGTTAAAATCAATTCAATTCGAATCAGAATTGATTCAATAAAATTTGTTTGGTAATTTTTGTCACGTTTTTAACCGACTTGACTGTAATTAGGTATGTCGAGTTTTGATTGGGTGACACATCTTAAACCAAAACTTATCAATATTGGTAAACTTTTTTACGATGTCCCCCATATAACGGTCCCCCCACAATTCGGAGTTTTGGGGATTTTAGGTACGATTTTTTAAACCAAATTGGCTGTAATTTGGTATTATGTTTTTTGCATTATCTTCCTACCGAGAATTTCTTCGACTTTTCTCTTTGACTGCAATGGCGTGGTGCATCGTTTCCGGGAAACGTATTTTTAATTCTGAGTGGTACACAATTTCTTTCGATTACTCAAACAAACAAATTGTCACACTTTACAAAACAAGGAATTCATGGATAACTTGAGGTAATTTTCGACCACTTTTTGACACGTATTGGACGGTATCTCAGTCATAACTGTGACTGTGGAATGTTGATTTGTAAGTGCTTAGGACTTGAAGGTTTATCTTATCTGCATAGATGGTCTTTTGAGAAATTATGCGACCAGGAAATGTCTCTTGCAACGGAGTCATATTCGCTCGAGTTGTGTGGCACGTCTTGTTGAAATCAAATATTCTTCAAATCGTATTCTAAAAATGAAGTCAAAAAGACGTTTATCATATGATCATAAGGCTCCGAATTTACGGAGACAGTATTTCAATCGTCGTTTCCGAAGAAATAATTTACACACTGACTTTTCTGGTTGTAATGATCTCTCTTCAATTACGTGAAGGTTCCCAAATGTTGTTTATTATCACATGCACAGAGTAAGAAATGTGCTTCTTCGTCGAACAAAAAGTTTTCCCGAAATAATGCGATTTGCCAGTTGGTTTCAGTTTTTGCCTGAGCTGAACTTTATATGGATATAGGTGTAGATCTAAATGCAAAATACGCCATAATGTGCTGTAAGACAGTGTGATTTCCTGAGAACGACGAGAAATCGACACATTCGGGACTTCGACAGCACTTTCACTTACAGCAGCGATATTTTAAGCGGAACTAGCGAAACGATTCAGAAAAAAAACGATTCAGGGGAAAAACGGTTCAGATTTAGATTTTTTCAGATTTATAGCTCCCATATATAATTTCGTTTCTCTTTAAGGCATCACTGGTGCACCAACATCACTTCGACACTGATTTTTCGTTTGCACGAAATTTGCGACGATTGAATTATGTCTGGAATGATGTGTGTTAAAACAACAAAATTTGTTGCATATTTTTGGGCAAAATATTTTCTTGTATTTTATGTAAACTGTGGCACATTAAAGTGTTTGTCCGATTGGCACACAATTTTGTAGAATAGTTACTTTTTATTATATATAAATTAATTATTTTTCAAGTAATTTATGCATGTCATCAATCTCTTATTATTTTGTCAAACAAGTTGACATGCCACCATTTGCACAACGTATCAAATTGAGACTAAAATAGCGTTATTGCGTTTTGTTGAAATTGGTTAAAATGCAGACAAGCTTAAATATATTTCAGATTAAATTTTGAACAGTGCGTGTATTTTGCGTGGTATATACACTTTATTTTGCAATAAACGTTGTTGCAAAATAGCATATGTATGGATTGATTTCATGTAATTTCATGTCAATGTTCCTTGGAAAAGGCGACGTTCAAACGCTTCAGCCTTGTCCAAAAGCTATGACTAAGAAATCTTCCTTACTAGTTTTGTACACAGATTTTGAATACAAAAATGTTTCAACAGTTACCATTCATTCACCGCCATCGATTTCATCGGAGTTTCTACTGAAAAAATGGTTTAACTATTTTGATTCACAGTTATCGAATAGTATAATCCTTTATATATATGTTTGTAAGAGGCAGAAGGAAACGAGATAGACACATGGTTTCTTTTGAGAATATGCATAGAATCACTTTCTGAGTCGATTTATGCATGTCCGTGCGTCCGTCCGTATATGTATTTTTGTGAAAAATGTACAGGTCGCATTTATGATTTGGATGAAGCACTTATTTGGCCCAAGCACGAAACCTATTGAGATGGTAGCTCCCATATATATTTTCGTTCGATTTAATGTAAATGGTGCGCCAAAGTCCCTATATATCTTTCGATTTGCATGAAATTTGGCACAGCGTAATGAATTAGGTCTAGAATGATGTGTATAAAGTTTCCTGAAAATCGGTTCAGATTTAGATATAGCTATATAAATGGTGCTCCAGAGTCCCTATATATCTTTCGGTTTGCACGAAATTTGGCACAGAGTAATGAATTAGGTCTAGAATGATGTGTGTTAAGTTTCCTGAAATCGGTTCAGATTTAGATATAGCTTCTATATCTGACCAAATTGAAAAATTTAGTATCGGTTACAGAATGACATGTTTACGGATCTAATTTCATTTTACTGGTCCTTTAAAAATGCGACATCTGTTAGGTTTCATCTGTTGAATATACCCAAAGTGGTGAAGGGTATCATATAGTCGGCCCGTCCGACTTTACTACTTTCCTTAATGGTTATTGTTATTTTTGTTCTTACAATATGTACAAAAATTATAAATAATATCAAATTAGAAATGCAGTCTGAAGATGCCAGAATAAATGTAGAAATTATTAAGTCTTTTAAAAACGACAATATGTTTCCTTATATATCACAATTTTTAGAGGGTTATTATATATTCCACATTCATCTACAAATGTGAAAAGGGTATTTTCATAACAGACTACATGCTTCGACTGCTTCAAATCTTATCTAAACAAAGAATTTCTTGAAGTCGTGCTGCTAACGATACATAAGAATATGTTGCAAATAAATTGTACTTAATTGATCATTTTATTTCGAATAAAAACAATGTTTATATTTAAGACCATTTATGTATACCTTTTTGTTAATTTTTAACTGTTCATCTTATCTATGTGTGTATAAAAATGAATTCTTCATGTATGTTTTTATTAATTTTTAATAACAATAAAAATTTTATTAAAAAATATATACAAAAAGTACAATCGAACTGAAAAAGTACACTTTTTATTGAAAGCTAGTACAATTTGAATGATATCATTTCGCATCCCTGCTTCAGCCATTTTGTCTAGGCATACGTACTTTTCATACGATTGTAGCACGAATTTTCACAAACCCAGGTTTATATCACCGCAAATCTAAAATTTCAATATTCTAAGGAGTCGTTTCGTCTGGACATTTATAATTGGTCAGTCCTATATAAATGAGATTGGCCATTTTCCAATAAAACTTGGTGTTTATACCGTTATTTCGAAGTCAATACTTACTCCATATTTTTTTCTAATAAAAATTTTTCACAACTTAATTTTTTTTGTTTTATATTTTTTTTTACAGATTTTTTGTTTATTGCACAAAATACAATATACATTTGATTTGTGTTTTTGTTTTGTGGTTTTGATTCTTTATATATAGTTTTATATATATAATATAGACAATAATATATATGTATGCTCAGCGTAGTATAATTAAATTATTATTAATCTAATTTGAGTAGATTTTTTTCTTTTGATTTAGTTCTTTTCAAATTCAAGGGATAATTATCAAAAAAAAAAGTTATTATCGCCCGATCAAAAAAGGCACACACAGAAAGGCATTCCAAGATTATAAATTAAATATATTTGGATAAGCCGACTTCCTAGAATATCTATGTATATGACAAAATATAAACAGTTGAAATTTGTTTTTGTGTAATTTTGTTTTGTTGTTTTGTTTTATTAAAACTACTTTATTTATTACAAAAAAAGTTATTAAATAATAAATTTACTTAATATAGATAATTATTTATAAGTCCTTAAAATTAAAGTTTTTAAAAAATTAACAATATAAAATAGTTTTTGTTTTAGGATTCTTTTCTGTTTTTTTTTTGTGTTTTTGTTGTTTATTTGTTTGGGGGGGAGAGTATGATTTTTGTTTGCTATACAAAATTGTTTTGTGTGGTCTGTTTAAAAACTAAAATAACAAATTTACATAAAAGGAGGAGGGGTAGTGGTTGGGGTGTATTATGGGCATGGGAAATTAATAATAATATAAAAACAAAACAAAAAATTAAATATTATGATGCAAAAATGAAAATAATAGTCAGAGAATTGTTTTTTAGAAATGTTAATATATATATCCAATAAATGAAAGCTCAACAAAAACGCAAGCTATTTGTTTTTTTTTTCTATTTGTTTGTGGTTTGTTTTTCTTTTTTTTTGTTTCAATATGTATGTAAAATGATTAAACTATATTGCTTAAATGAAAAACTAACATTTTATGTTTAGTAAAATGTGTGTGTGTTGGGGAAAGGCGGGTAATTGGGAATTGCTTTTTTTGTTGGTTGTTTTTTATATTTACATTTGTTTACCTTACAACTATAATAATAATTTGTTTGTTATTATTTTTTTGTTTTGTTTCTTATTAATTAAATAAATTACATTCGTATAATTTGAAGTCTTAGGAATACAGGTTTGTTTATTTTCAGTTTGTTTTTTTTTTTTTGGGGAGGGGGGAGTTTATAGATTTTTGAGTAAAAAAAATATGCACAGTTTGGGGAAGTTTTTTTATGAGGGATTTGTTTTTTTGTTTTGTAATTTTTGTTTCTTCTTTGTTTGTATTATTTATATATAGTTCAGAGAACAAATTTACATTAACTAAAATTAAATATTTTCAATATAAGGCACAAGTTTTGTTTTTTTTTAATTGTTTTTCTCTATAGTAAAACAATAAATTACAGCAGTTTTTTTTTTAAATTATACAATTTAAAATAAAATGAAATAATTTCCGGGGATACAAGGCATCATCAAAATACATAATATAGAGCATTTTGAAATTAGTATTGCTTTGTTTTCCCGAAAATTCAATTTCATTACATATTTTGTTCGTTTTTGGGGGTAGGGGTTGTTAAATAGTAAAAAAATTATACATTTATTTTTTTTTCTTTTTCAAAACTTCAATGCATCTCCAAGCTATACCCAAAATGAAATGGAAAATATTTCAAAATGTATTCCATACTCTTGAGTACATCCAATAGACACATTTCTCTACAACTGCTGTTGTATTTTAATTCCACATAAAATTTAATTATTTTTTTCTATGGAGTTTTTTTCCTTTTTTGGGGAGGGAAGTTCCTATAACATTAGCTTTTAGCTTATATAATAATCTCTGGCTTTATTTGTTTAAATAGTTTGCAAAATAACATTTTGTTATTTCGTGTTTTTGTTTTGTTTATCTGTTTTTTTTTTTTTTGTTTCTATTACACACTATCTATCTCTTGATCTCTCTCGCTTTTGTAGTTAGTTATGATTGAATACAAATTTTTCAGTTTTGTTTCATTTTTTTTCTGTTTTCAGTTTTTTTTTTCTTCTACGCAAAAGTATTTCAAAACCACTGCTCCAGCCATCCGGATAGTTTGTGTGTTTGAGCGTGTGTGAGAGCATGTTAACGTGTTTTTTTTTTGTTGGCCAGCACATTTATTTAATCTGTGCCACAAAACACTTTACAAAAAAATTTCTCCAATTGAATGAATATGAACAACACAATTTTTGTTTTTAATAGAGGCTCCTCACACTTCAACACCATAAGTACGATCGACTACATATTCAAAACGTTGTTTATCGGCGGCATCACTATTATTACCATCTTTCTGATCTTTGGTGTTTTGGTGATTTTCTGTTGTTGTTGTGGTAGTTGATGTTGTTGCTGCTGCTGCGGATGCTTTCATTTTATTACTAGTTTCGGCTAGCAATTTATTGGTGGCATTTTGTGTAGCCGCTTGTCTTCGGCTACTGGCGCCACCAATATGATTCTCATTGAGATTCTTGTTTCTTATGCTACTGGCTACGAGAGCCGTATTAATGGCAATTGCTGTTTCGGCGGCATTATCATCATAATCCTCATCATCATCTTCGTCGTCGTCATTCTCTTCTACAATATAATTATTTTGGTTTTCTGGTAAATCTTCAACTTCCTCTTCTTCTTCAATGGGATCGGCTTCGGATAGCATAAAATCGGTTGGTAATTCTGGTACCGATAAACCTTTACGTGTGAAAAATGAAATTTTCTCTCTGCAAATGGAAAGAAGATGAAAAAATATTAGTTATGGAACACTTTTTCTATAGAAGACCTAAAAAAATGTAAAAGATCGTTATAAAGTCCTTTGGTCTCTATACCGACCAATTGGTCTTTATATATAAAGACCAGTGGTCTCTATACAGACCAATTGGTTTTTATAAAGACCAGTGGTCTCTATACAGACCAATTGGTCTTTATAAAAACCTTTGGTCTCTACACAGACCAATTGGTCTTTATAAAGACCAGTGGTCTCTATACAGATACATTGGTCTTTATAAAGACCAGTGGTTTCTATACAGACCAATTGGTCTTTATAAAGACCAGTGGTCTCTATACAGATACATTGGTCTTTATAAAGACCAGTGGTTTCTATACAGACCAATTGGTTTTTATAAAGACCAGTGGTCTCTATACAGACCAATTGGTCTTTATAAAGACCAGTTGTTTCTATACAGACCAATTGGTCTTTATAAAGACCAGTGGTCTCTATACAGATACATTGGTCTTTATAAAGACCAGTGGTTTCTATACAGACCAATTGGTCTTTATAAAGACCTGCGGTCTCTATACATACCAATTGGTCTTTATAAAGACCTGTGGTCTCTATACAGACCAATTGGTCTTTATAAAGACCTGTTGTCTCAATACAGACCATTTGGTGTTCATAAATACCTGTGGTCTCTATGCAGACCAATTGGTCTTTATAAAGACCTGTGGTCTCTTTAGTCTTCACTGAAGGTTTCCCTGTGGGTTTTCGTTGTTTGACCTTTACACTTACTTGAATGACACTAAATCCGGACAACCCTTTGGTACTTTTGTTTTGCGCAATTTATAGATTTTCTTGGTGGTTTTCATGAGCAGCTTTTGTAACTGTTTCTCCTCGGGGCATTTATTGGGATCGGCACGTTCAACTAAACGTTGGAATTCCTCATTTTCAATGGCCCAGGCGGCAATCAAGGGATCTTTGTTATCCCTAGCCTTTTCCAAACTGTCATAAAAATGGAAATTTATTAAAATATTTTTACTACAGAAATAGGGGATCAAAGTTCTACTTACGCTTCTTTTAAATTTTGCAATTTAGCAATTTGATCATTAAGGAAATCTAATTTACTATGCTGGGCCTGTAGATCTAATTCCAGGTCCAAACTGGTGCGTGGTATGTGAGTATGATTTAATTCTACAAAGACGAGAGAATTTAAATTAATTCCTTTTCCCTACGATTTTTTTAATATCAATACATACTTGTGGCAGTTTTGGGAGCCTTGGTATGGAATCTCAGTGATCTCCTTTCAACGGCTCCACGATGGAAAGGATGTGGCGTAACACCAAAATGCATGGCAGAATCGGAATCGCTACGATTTAAACGGCAAATGTAACGGCTTTTACCCACTGCCGCAGATGGTGTAAATGTTTGTGATCTCTTAACGGGTCTATCATCGGCCGCCTGTTGGGCCTGTTGAGAACGAGATTTTTCTGGGGGGAAGGCACATTCGGTGTTGGTTTCCTTATCAACATATTCCTGTTTCATGTTGTCCATATAGGCATCTAACATTTTTTTGGTGAAATCTACAAAGAGGAAAGAAATGAAAATTTAATTTTGTATTTATTTTAACACAATTCGGTCCTTAGTATTCTGTACATACCACTTCCAATTGCACCCTCCAATTCTTCTTCGTCCTCTTCTTCCTCCTCCTCCTCGTCTTCATCATCATCGTCTTCCTCTTCATCCTCATCATCCAGGCCGAGATTTTCTCTTAAATCTTCAGCAATTTGTGCCTGCATTTCAAAGGGTGGTGCCTGATTGCGGGTTAGTGTCGATGTTTGGGAGGATGTTATTGTCGATTCATCGGAAGATTCTTCTTTGCAGGCAGAGGCATGTGTTGTGGCATTGGTGGTGCTGTTTGCAGAACTACCGCTTACCGTGCTGCTATGCTGATGATGATTTGCCGCCGCTGCTGCACTTGTTGAGGGCATATCAATGGGCTCAAAGGTGGGCATGAATTTCGAACTCAACACATTATACCATTTAAGGGTGGAGTCATCGGGATTAAATTCTGCCATACTAATTTGGACAGTGCCCTGAAAATATTACAAATCAATAATTAACGATTCTTCTGTATTTCTAGGGTAACAAGTGGACTTACAATAATTTCCTCCTTTTGGCCGGTCATACTGACCACCGTGACATGCAGGCTCTTGGTGCAGAGTTTACCCAAGGAAATTGGCACCGCAAAGGTGTCATTGAAAACGGGTTTCTGGAAGTCGGACATGGCTTTTGTGCGTATTGATGTCAGGGAATTGGGCAGTAAGGCGGCACGTAGATATCTATTGAGAAAAAGCAACAACAATTAACATCTCTTCTTTTTTAGGTTGTAAAAACATGATTTACTTACACTTGCGAGTTCTCCGTTGAGGCCGACCATAGCGCCGACAAATTATTGGCACGTTCCAGTGACACCACCAACACCCCCTCCTTCTTTAGATATTTCAAACCAATTTGAACTTGAGCCAATTCCTTGCGTGGCAAATGTGCCCGCGAAGCTTCAAACACTCCCGAATCTCCGGCCACAGATTCATTACTAACTGCCGCCGAAACGGATCGAGTATTCGATGTGGACGATGAACGACTTAGCATTTCTTGTGGTAAATCCAGCAGTGAAGGTTTTTCGGAAATTGGTGATAGAGGTGCACCCAAGTTCAGCGGTGCGGACATATTCAATTTTTGCAATCTGGCCTCCAGCATCATACAATCCAATACGGTCGAGTCCAAATCATAGGGATTTGTTTGTGTACGATTACCCCCAGGACTGGGCTGTTGATATAACGATTGCAGGACAGCTCCGGCATTGGCATAGGTTGGCTCTTCCTTGAGCAAATGCTGTTGTGAGCCATTTTGTTCGTTGGCGGGGTTGTATTTCATGGGAGATGCGGGTGGTGTTTCCATCGATAGACTGCTACGCGGAGACAGGGAGATTTCGGATGATGGCTGTTGCTGGAGTTGGGGATGATGGCCGACGAGTACATGTTCGCTGCTGGCGGTTTGTTGTAAAGCTTGCACCTGTTGTTGTTGGTTTTGTTGCTGCTGCTGTTGTTGTTGGAATAGCCGCTGTGAACGACGATGTAAATCCACCAAATCGATTTGTGGATCTACAGTGAATGGATCCAAGTAAATATCTGTAAAACTCAGAGCACTTTTACTGCTCGCCGTCGACAAAGAACCCAAACTTGAGCCACTGCTAATAGAGAATGTACTTTCCGAGGAGAACGATTTTAAACGTTCTTCCAGCATTTTTGTGGATTTTAAAGCCTCTTGCAATTTATCCAAAAGCAGTTGCTTCTCTTCATGAAAACGCAGGCGATTATTGATTTGTTGATTGGTAGCTTCGTAGGCCTCCTTCAAATCTTCTTCCAGTTTTCTTCGTGTCTCCTGTATTATGTGGATTTCTTCGGGGGTGCGGGACTTCAGCGATATGCTATTCAGCTCATTCAACAATTTCTCCTTCTCTTGAATCAACAAAATCCGATCTTTATCGGATTCCAATTGACCAGGTTCTATGCGTTCCACATGATCGGCCAATTGCTGTTGCAGGCGTCGAATGTGTTTACGCCATTCGGTATATTGTAGCTTTGTTTTGGCCATTTCAGCAAACCTTGCTCCACTATTGAGATTATCCCCTGGACCACACAGGTCCGTTTGTGACGCAACACATACCCGATCAAAGGGTGATGAGGCATTCAGCAACTCTGCATTTTCTTCATTGATCTGCTGTCGACTAAGTTCATTCTTTATTTGCACCAGACTACGTATTAATTCTTCGCGTACTTTTTCGCCCGACACCAACGATTTGTGAACTTTTAGCATTTCTTCGCGAATCGCCTGCACCTCGGCTATGTCATAACAACCATTTTGCCGGGCATTGATTTTCTCACCCACCGAATATAGGGTATTCATGCCACGTTGTGTATACGAAATGTCGCTGGTAATGTGATTTAGTTCATGTTTCAGCTGGCAGACACGTTCTTTGGCCAATTTCAAATCGGCTCGCAGCAATTCGGGATCATGTCGACTCATCGAGGATGTTGAGGAACATACTGGAAGGGGAAGAAAAAAAAAATAAAATTGATTAGAGTTTTTGTAGAAGGAATAAAAAGGGAATTAGATAAATTGTAGTTTTGAGAAAAACGTAGGCGAAATTTCAGATTCCTTATTTCAAAAAATGTGGTTGTTCCTTAACCCCAAAAGATAGGCTTTGTTTTTTGTCAGGATTAGGTTTTTTTTTTTTTTTTTTTTTTTTTATTTAAAACTTTATACAATTCAGTACTTAAATTTATTCTTAATAGATATATTATAAGTACATATTTATAAACACATTTCAATCTACGCCTCAGCATCATAAAGACATTATAGAGGCTTAAAGTTGACAAATTTATACAAAAGTTGTACTTAAAGTGAAATAATACAATATTGATCATTTATCATAGAAGTTAAATAAAAATATTATCCATTTCATCATAAATATATTTTTTAATTTCGCTTTTAAATAATGATATTCTCCGAAGGTTCTTCAGTTCATTAGGTAGTTTATTGAACTCTGAACATCCTATATACGAAATTTTTTGTTTAGTTAGTTCAATTCTACACCGAGCTACCCTCAGATTTGTGCTGTTTCTTGTGTTAAAAACGTTTTGATTCACCAAAAATTTAATAGTGTGATGACCTATGTTATGAATACATTTATACATATACAGTAATAACCGCAATTTGAAAATACAACATAGCGGCATAACAGAAGGAAACACCTGTTTGTACAGTTGACTAGTTGGGTATAAAATTGGAAGATTAGCCACAATTTTTAAAGCCTTATTTTGCAATCTGGACAGCGAATTAAATTCAACACTTTTTCGGAAACCATATAATAATGTTAAATAGTTTAGATGACTATGTATCAATGATTGGTAAATCAATAACTTTGTTTCATAATTAAACTTATTTTTAAACTTATACAAAAGACCCAAAGCTCCTGACACTTTCTTCTTCACATGTTGAATATGGTAATCCCATGATAAATTACTTTGCAAATATAGGCCTAGATATTTTACAGAATATACCTCTCTAACTTGAGTACCATTAACATTAATACTGAATGCACCATTGTTGTCAACATGCGGTTTAAAACGTATTATATTCGTTTTATTTGCGTTTAAAAAAAAGTTTATTGATTTGTGCATACTCATTAATTAAGGCAGCATCACGCTCCATATATATCTTTACAACTGTTTCATGTTTATAAGGGTAAATTAGGCAAATGTCATCCGCATACAAAAACATTTTCCCAGATAAACCCAAGTTTGCTATGTCATTGATATACAACTTAAAAAGTAACGGTCCAAGGACACTTCCTTGAGGTACGCCATGTGCAACGCATGCTTCTGAGCTTTTTTTGCCATTAATTTCAACAAATTGTTTCCTATTCTCCAAGTAGCTTTTTAATATTAGTAAAGCATTTTGTCTAAAGCCATAAAATCTTAATTTTTCTAACAAAATTCCATGGTCCACAAGGTCAAAAGCCTTTGAGAAGTCATAGAATATTGCACATACGCCTTTTGCACCATCATCTAATCCATTGCATACAGTTTCAATAAAATTAACAGTAGCTTCTTCTGTTCCACACCCCTTCCTAAATCCATACTGAAAATCACAAAGTACGTTATTATTCTCAAGATAGTCTGTCATCTGTTTACATAATATATTTTCAAAGACCTTTGTAAAAACTGATAAAACAGCTATTGGCCTGAACTTGTTGATACAACTTACATTTGGTTCTTTAGGAATCGGTATAATCTTATGTATTTTTAGAGCATCAGGGTACACACCCTTGTCTAGCATACAATTGAAAATGGTCACAAGATATGGAGCTAATAAGTGACAGCATAGCGAAACAGTTTTTTGAGAAATATTATCGTAACCTGAACTACTTTTCTTTGATAACTGAAGAATTATATGTTTCACTTCATGTATGGTTGTATAATTGAAGTTAATATGTATATTCATTCAATTTACAGTTCTCATTGAGTTCCAGTAATCACTACCATTCTGAGCAATGCGTGTTTTCAATTCTTCCACAGAATCCAAGAAATATTGGTTAAAAGTATTGACCTTTTCAAAATCATCCGAAATCATGGTACCGTCACCTCTTCTGATGTTAATGTCCTTCGTTTCCTTTGACCTACCAAGATTTTTGTTTAAAAACTTCCAGCATTTGGCTGGTTCGCTACGTAGGCTTTCAAGGTTATAACTGTAATAATTACTTCTTGATTCTCTGCAAGATCTCTTTATAATTTTACTTATAGACTTAAGCTGTTTTTCTATTAAATAACCGCCTTTATTTTTACGTCTGGATTTTAATAACTTTTCCTTAAATTCTATTAATTTTCTCAAATTCGCGTTTACCCAAGGAGTAATATTATATTTTCCTGATCGGTTGCAGGTTCTAATAGTTGTAGATTCTTCCAAACATTTCTGAATTGTGGTTATTAGCTTGGCCATATCAACCGATGGATTTCCAGTAATACAAAACATAGGTAAATCTCGTTCAATGCAACGTATCAAATTATCTTGATTAATAAAAGAGTAAGTTTTATTATTACTGGCATGATCCACAATGGAATTACCTACACAAAAGTAAACGATGTTATGGTCAGTCAATTCACACTCTACAGAGACTATATCGGAAATACCTTCAAAATTTGAATAAATGTGATCAATGCTTGTACCACTTACGGGTCTTGTCACCAAAGAATGACAACTTTTAAAATCGTATGTTGCAAGTAAACTTGAAATGGCATTTGATGCATTATCGTCTAACATATCTATGTTAGCATCTCCAACAAACATACATGGATATCTCCCAAAGTTGTTCAACGTTTCGTCTACAAAGGAAAGGAATGAATTGGTTGGGCATTTTTGGGATCTATAAAATGAAACAAGCCTTACAGGTTTACCAAGCCATTTAACTTCATCCAAACTGATTTGAACAAAATCTATAAAATTACGACTTTCGCACAAAATAATATCAAACTTTATGTCATTCCTAACATATACAGAAGTTCCTCCAAACCCATCAACTCTACAACAGTGCACCGCTCTGTAACCAGCTATGTTATATATTTGAGAAACTTCGCTCTTAAACCAAGTTTCCTGCACAGAAACAACACAAGGCAACTTTGACAAACTCGATAGCAATGTTCTGAACCTATTAAATTTATTAATGGAAGATAAGCTTCTCATATTTATTGACATTACTTTGAAAGGTATATTATTCAGAGTTTGTAAATGTTTTTTAAATAATGCAAATTCGCTAAAGTAATTATTTGACATAGAAAAAAAGAAAAATGGATTTTATTCAACGTTGATAACACTTATTAAAAAAAAAAAAAAAGAATGTTTATAAAATTTACGATGATAGATATGTCTCTTCTTCATCAATAGCTTCATCTTGGCATCTTTCTCGATTGGTTTTATGGGTTGTTGCTTCAAGCAGTAATTTATTGACATCATCCTCATTACGGATTACTCTGGGCTTCGATAATTCGCTTCGTTTTACAAACACTTTCCCACCAGCAGCATAAACGGAGCGAAAACCAACGTTCTTTAATGATTTGGCATAATTGAATAAAATCATAGTCTCACGGCTTAGAAAATCATTAACGTACACATTTTTTGTTTCTTCATTTTCCTTTAAATTCTTTTTCATCGACATGATCTTGCTTTTCGTTTGTTTTGATTTCGTTTTAACAACAATCGATTGAGCAGTATTCTTCGATTGTTTCTTTCTCATAAAGAATACATCTTCAATATTTTCTTCGGTTATGTCAACACCAGCACTTTTAGTTAAATTCATGAGAGTTTCCATTGCCGTAGCATTATCAGTTTTTACAACACCAGATATAATGCAATCATTTTTTACTCTCTCATCATTAATGTATTTAATAGAACTTCTCAAGTCTTTAACTTCTTCTCTTAAATGTTTGTTTTCTTTTTCAATTATTTCTAATTTTCTTTTGTTTTCAGCAACTCCTTTAAGTATTTCGTCATATTGCTTTGACATGAAATTCATAGTTTCATGCATTGCTGTTAACTGATCCAGTTTCTTTAGCTCTCTTTTTATTAAGTTCAGCTCAGTTTGAAGGCTTCTACTACTCTCACTACAAAGGTGACACACAAAATCTTCACATTCATTTTTTAAGAGATGTTGATATTCCCTTTTGTTCAGCTTAGTGCACACAACGTGAAGAATTTTTTTACATTTGTCGCACTCAATTGATTCCTCTTCTTCTTCATTTACAACAAGATTGCATTGTCCACAAAATATTTGATTGTTTTTCACACTTCTTCTACTTTTACTAGGCATTCTCGATGTTACCCGAAAAAAATAGTTTTTAAAACATATGAAGATATATTTTTGAAAAGACAATCGATAATATTTGCCAGTTTTTTTTAATTAAATTTGACTTGTGTAGTACGGAGCTCTATTTCACGATGTTCTCACGTTAAGGGTTGCCAACTTGTGCTCCTTGTGGTTACTGTAAAGACCTATGCCATTCTTTTGGTTTACAAAAAAGGGAATCCCTTGTTGTTCAGAAATATAAGAGAGCTAGACGGCGTACAGAGGAGTTCGAGATGAGACCTAAAGGTCTTCTGTCTAGGGAAAACTTGGATGTTACAGATTTTTTATGTGGAATAACAATCCCGGAAGTACTTCAAGGATATCTCCATTCAATAGAAGTCATTAAGAAGCACATTTCTATGCAAGGGCTGAAAAGTTTTTCCCTGTATAAAATCTGACGAAGGTCGTCTGCGTATTTAAGGTCAATAAAAGCCTTGAAAATGGTCTTCTGCCCGTAGAATGCCTGAACAAGGTCTTCAGTCTAGGAAAAAATGTTATCAAGACCGTATATTTTTTAGCTGTCAATAGGATGTTCGTATAAAAATAAGGCCTTCTAACGAAATTGATTTGAAGTGAAAAAAATATTTTTTTTCTGAGACCTATAGAAGACCTTGGGACTATGGAGGAGCTATAAAAGGTCTTCTATCTACAGAAGGCTTGTAGAAGGTTTTCTGTCTATAGAATACTAGCAGAAGGCCTTCTGTCTGTAGAAGACCTTTATATGATATTCTGTTTCAGAGGCGGAAATATTCTGGTCATAGAAGTTCTGTAGAAGGCAATAAAATATCTATTCAAGATATTCTGCCTATAGAAGGTCGGGGACGGGTTTGGGTCTAAAACAGAATATTTTGTTCATAGTGGTGAAGGTATTCTGAGCATAGAATTTCTGCATTTGATGATCTTCTGCCCCCAGAAGATCTGTAGAATATTTACTGTCTATAGGAGGTCTATCAGAGGTTTTTAGACTATAGGAAGCCGCCTATGGATGATGTTGTGTATATAGAAAATCTGCAGAAGACATTACGTTTGTATTATTAAAAAATTAATATTTTCTACTTACAACTACTTCTGCTGGCGGCCAATTTATTCAAATTATTATATTCCTCTTGGGCTATTAGCAATCGCTGTTGTTTAATGTCATACATTTCACGTTTATTCTCCAGTTGATCTTGGGCCGCCGATAGATAATCCCTTAACATTTGTTCCTGTACACTTTTCCATTCTTGGCGGGGATCTTCCAATTGGGTGGTTTGGGCAATGTGATTGATATAATAACGGCCGATATTCGGGTCATAGGCTTCTTCCCAGCCAATGGGCAGCTCATCGCCGACACAATCTTCAAATGATTGGGGTTTGGTATATCTGCAAGAAAAAAAAAAGGAATTTGTTATTAAATGTTATTAATAAAATAAAAATAACGAAAGTGTTTTATAAAAAAATTGTTTTTTTTTTTTTTTTTTTTTGAGAGAAAGATGCCAGAGCCATTTAAATATTTCCGGTTCATTAATAAAAAACAAATTGTGTTTTTTATTTTGGAATTTATATTGGCAATTTTTTATGAATTTCTGTTGTATGTGTCTAAAAATATCGAAACTTGTTTGGCTGCCTGGCATAAATTATTTTTATTTCCAGTATGTCACTGATTAAGGCAATCAGACTATGCCAAAAAAATAATAACCAACCAACCAAGCTGGCCATCAGCGGAAATGTCATTTAGCAAAGATTATTATTTATTATCATTATCATCAGCAGCATCATTTAAGGAAAACAAAATTATATCTTCTAAAAAAATCGTATAAAAATTCTAGTTAATGAAATGGATATGAATGGAAATTCCATCATTTTACTTCATATATTTCTTTGCTGGTGCTTTTGTTATGACTCCCAAATTGAAGATAAGCTGAGTATTTCGTCAATGTCTTCCTCCTTATGTGTGGCTAAAATAAACCTTCCGTTGCTTTATTTAGCATTAATTTTACCCCAAAAGAGAAAAAAACGAAAAAAAATGTTTTTATTTTCTGATAAGATTAACAATTCAAATTCATTATAGTCTCATAAAAATTCCTGCTATTTCCTTTTGGTTTTTGAAAAGTTCATTTTTGTTGACTTTATTTCTCTATGAAGATAAACAAGAGAATTACACGTATGTTTGTGTTTTGTTGTTGTTAGTTTTTATTTATTTTTTTTTTGCATTAGAAAAAAATTAATTTAAATATTTACTTAACATTTTTTCTATACAAGATATGATGGGGTTTAAGTTTCTGCGAATTTTTTTTTTATCAAAAAAATTTTAAATGATAATTTTTTTGCCACATTCCAGTGGGATGTAGGTGGGCTTAACGTTGTGAAAAAAACGAAGCGTGTTAGATTATTTTTTGAAAGGAGATTTTTTCCATGAATTTGCTATGAGGAGAATACCTTCCGAAGGTCTTATGCCTATAGGAAACCTGCAGAAGATCTTTTCTCAATAGGAGATCCGTGGAAGGCATGTGAAATATTTTTTTTTATCTATATAGGACCCGTAGAAGTATTTCAGTTTGCTAGAAGACCTGTGTAAGGTCTTGGGCCTATGGACGACTTATTAAAATTTTATACAACTGATAGAAGGTTTGTAGAAGGAAGGAAGAGTTGAAAAAGACAACCTGTCGAAAATCCTCTATGTATAGAAGGTTCACAGACGATCTTAAATGTTATTCTGCCCTTAATACGCACGAAGAGGACCTAGAGGAGGCCTCAAGAAGTTATTGTATCTAAAGAGAAAATGTTGAGAATATCTTCTGCCCTGAGGACATCTAAAAAAGTTTTCTGTTTTTTTTATATCTACAGAAAATATAGAGAAGTTCTTCTGACTACAGGACTTCTGATGAAGGCCATTCTTTAGAGGAGTAAAAAAGGGTTTATTTTTCAGTATAAGACCTAGCAAAGGTTGTCTGCGTATGTAAGACCTTTAGGAAATAGTTAGAAAAAAATGGGGAAAAATGTGTTCCTTAAAGAAAAAGTCTGATCTGCTGTTATTTTGTCTTGTATGAGCGCTGAAGAAGGCATTAATATTTATGAAGTGTTGAGGATGTATTTTTTTCTTTATAAGAACCGATGAAGGGCGTCTGTGTATATAAGGTCTGTAGAAGACCTGGAGATGATATTCTGTCCGTAGAAAGTCAGAAGAAGGCCTTATATCGTATGTCTTGAAGTAGGCTTTCTTTATATAGAATATTTGAGGATATTCTATCAGTATACGAACTGACAATATTTTACAGATGTTCTCCCGTCCATAGAGGAACTGTTATTGGTTTCTTGTCTCTAGAAGGCCTGATAAAGATCTTCATCTTTCATGTAGGACCTGTTGCTATATACGATTTGTGAAAAGTTTATAGAAGACCTACAGGTAGTATCTAAAGATTATCAGAATAGGTATTCTGCCCCTTGAAGACCTTGCCTTTTGCCTCCGGAAGACTTATGAATGTCCATAGAGAATGTGTTAGATGTATTTGAACTATAGAACATGTATACAAGGTATTCAGTCTTTAGAAAAGCGGCAGAAGATCAAGTGTCTAAGGAAGATCAGCTGAAGGCCTGTAGATGGTCTCTTGGTATTTAAATCCTGTAGAAGTTAGTTTTCTAATAGAAGACATGTGGGAGATCTTCATTTAATGAGGATATTCATTAAAGGTAAATATATTCTGGCTATAGAAGATTTGTAGAAGCCGTTCTGTTTACAGAGGGACTACAGGAAGTTTTTTTTGTCTATAGAAGATCTTGGGTCTATAGAGGAGCTATAAAAGGTCTTCTATCTACAGAAGGCTTGTACAAGATTTTCTGTCTAGAGAATAATAGTCATCTGCCATCTGTCTGTAGAAGACCTCTAGAGGATATTCTGTTTTTAGAGCCGGATATATTCTGTTTATTGAAGTTCTGTAGAAGGCAATCTGACAAAAAAATATCTATACAAGATATTCTGCCTATAGAAGGTCTGTCGAAGGGTTTCAATCTATTGGAAGGCTGTAGAAGGGGTTTTGGGTCTAAAATTGTCCTGTATTATGCCTATAGAATATTTTGTTCATAGTGGTGGAGGTATTCTGAGCATAGAAGTTCTGCATATAAAATATCTGTAGAATATTTACTGTCTATAGAAGGTCTGTCGAAGATTTTTAGACTAAAGGAAGCCCCGTATGGTGTTGTGTATATTAAAAATCTCCAGAAGACATTACGTCTGTAGACTGTCTGTAGTAGATTTGCTGCATATACGATACCAGTAGAAGTTCTCCAGTCTGCAGAGGGCATTTAAGAGTTTTCTGTGCATAGAAATACAGAATGTTCTTTCTAAAAAAGGTCTGTAGGATGTTTGTAGACGAAGATCTGAAGATGTTATGCAGGAGATTTTATAATAGAGGGTATGTAGGAGATTTTCTTATATAGAACATCTGCATATGTTTTCCTGTCAATAGAAGGTCTGTGGAAGATTTCATATACATATAAGTTACTCTGCATGTAGAAAACCTCTCTTGGGACTTCTGTCTATGGCAGACCCATGGACATAATAGGTAAACCATCTAGAAGGTATTTTAAATGTGGAAGGTATGTAAGAGTTTTATGTACATAGAAATACAGAATAAGATCTCCTGCATATAGAAAAAAATACAGAAGATATTCTGTCGGCAAAAGGTCTGTAGGAGGTTTATAGAGGAAGAGGAATTTATGGTAGGAGATTTTCTTATATAGAACTGTAGGAGGTTTATAGAGGAAGAGGAATTTATGGTAGGAGATTTTCTTATATAGAACTTCTGCAGATCTTTTCCTGCCAATAGAAGGTCTGCCGAAGATTTCATATACATATAAGTTACTCTGCGTGTAGAAGACCTCTCTTGGGACTTCTGTCTATGGCAGACCCATGGACATCATTTTATGTGTAGGAAAACCATCTAGAGGGTATTTTGAATTTTCTATTGATTTTTTATTAAATCAAATAAAATAAATAAAATAAATTTAAAATAATTTACATATAAGTATGTATTTATATTTATATACATACATATAAAATTAAAGATCTCGCTTTAAGTAAACATAAACATTTTGCAATTCTTAGAAATTTTATCAAAATATTTATTTATTTTTTTTCATTTCCATTTTTTTTCTTAGATTCGAAATATGTATAATTTTTTTTGTTTATATTGAATGAATGCGCGTGTGTGTATGTATGTAGTCGCGTTATTTTTCAAGTGGGTGAATTAGAAAACATTTTGTGTCTTTGTCGGGCGGTGGTGTTGTTGCTATTGTTGTTGTTGTGGAAATCAAATGGAATTTAAATCTTTTTTATATGTTTAACACACATTAGAGAATTTATGAATTTTTAAACGTTTTAATTAATTTGTGTGTGGGTGGGTGTGTGTGAGTGAGTGTATGCTCGTGCAAGCGTGTTGTGATTGCGTTTATTGTTTGTATATCGGCATGTTATTTAGCTTTGGGGTTTTTTGTTATAAAAAATGTTCATTGGATTTTTTATCGGAATTTTTTTATGCAAAATAATGTCAACATCTACGCAATAATACCGCAAATGGAACTTGGGAATTAAATGGTGTCTTTATTATAATATTTATGACAAATAAGGAAGAAGTTAATGTTTGGATAATAAAAAGAAATATAATTTAAGAAATAAAAATTGAATACTATTTTAATAAAGTAACACTATGTGAAGGCGTTTTAATTTTTTTTTAATTATTAAAACATATTAACTAACAAATTGTTTTGAATTTATTTTCAAATTACCTCGAAAATACCATACTCATAATAATTTTTTTTGGGGGATAGGCAGAGCCAAAGCCGACTACATTGAATATAAATATTTGTCATTCATGCGTATCAAAAATAAAGAAGACGTGACATGGTTTCTTATCTGTACCGACAACGACGGCCCTGTCTTCAGTGAGTGAGTGATTTAGCCAGGGAATGAATGAGTGTGTGTCACCCTCCTCAAAAACAAAAAAAAAAAAAAAAAAAAATAGAAATCACAGCGCAAAATATGTTATTTTTCAGCTAAAGAATATCAATGATTTCTTGTTAAAATCTTCAATAAACAAAACTATTCACATTCCAAAAAACAAACAGACCAGCCATACGAAAACAAAGTGGCATTTTTAAAGGTGACCTAGTGATTATAATTTGTGTGCTTAAAAATACCCTAAATGAATTTTTAATTAATTTCGATAACAATTTGTTGTTTCATATTAAGAGGTCTATTAGAACAGAAGTTCTATCGAAAAACAATAACAGAAAATTGATTTAGGCCGAAAAGATTAATATAAGCGAATGGGAATATTTGGAAGGTCATATTTTTTAATAAAAACGACATAAATAAATCACTTAGG